TTTTGTATGCTGTTAAAGACAGGACAGTGGAAAGAGTCAGAAATCAGGGAGAGAGAGAATGGGGAATGACATGTGGCAAAGGAGCCGCAGGTCAGATTTGAACCCGGGCCGTCTGCTTGGAGGACTACACCCTCTGTACATGGGGCTGGCTTAGTGCACCAAATCTGACCATAGGTTATGATATTTTTGAAAAAAGCCTTATCCATAGTTAAATGATAATATTTATTCAGATATTTTCCATTTTAATTGTTGTGCTTGTGCAAGAAATTTTATTCTACTAACAACTAGTAGCTGTAACTGTACAAAAAGGAGAAGGAAGGAACCGAAAACTAGCAGAAAATCAAAATTATTTAGTGCAGTTTGTAAGGAAAGGTAAATCTAGCACAATGAGCTTTAGTATGCTTCTTTGCATACGTATGATTAAGTCAGGTCATGTTTGTGTGCTTGTGTCTCGTTTGCCTTTCTTTTTCTATTATGTTCCTTAAAAACAATGTTTGTGTTTTTGGTATGCATACATTTGTTTTTTGTCAGGAATTTTATTAAGATAATAAATCGGACACTCATTGTTTCTTCAGTATCCCTTGTGTCCACCTCAGTCAGCGTGCGTGCGTGCGTGCGTGTGTGTGTGCCTGTGTGTGTGTGCGTGTGTACTGTCAATCAGCGCATGTGCCTTACTGAAGTGGGCGCCTCCACACCGTCTGGGCAAGGCAAGAATAAAAAGACTGTCGTTGAGTCAGACTGAGATCATGTCTGCTCTGCTGTACTTTAACTCGTGTGTGTCTGTGCCAGCTTTGTGTGAGTGTGTTGTTTGTTCTTGTCTGCAGTTCTCACTTTTTAGACTCTGCATGCAGAGGAGTATTTTTTTCCCTCTTTGTTTCATCGTCTGTCAACTTCCTTTCAGTCTGTCAACCTGTGAGCAAATGGGTGTGCACAATGACCCAGTATGTGAATTTGTAGGTGGGTGTGTGTTAAAGTCTCTGCACACGCATAATTCATGAGTATTAATGTCTATTTATTTATTTCAATATTAATGAGAGGGTCTGCATGGTTGAATAGGCGCTACTGACAAAGGCAGTGAAATTGTGATATGTTAGAGAGCGTGTGAGTGAAGGACTGTGTATGCGTGAGTGTGTGTGTGTGTGTCTGCATGTTTCACCATTTAATTGCTTCCCTGTTGTGTGCACTTACTTCGAAGTATATGTTTAGTGTGAGAGGGGAGAAAGGATGAGAGAAAGCTAAACAGGGACGGACAGATGTGATAATCTGAATGTCCTTGGGCTATTGTTATCTGAGCTGGGTGTGTGACCGGGTGTCTGGCTGTGTGTCTCCTCAGGGTGATTTGCTGGTGTGAGAGACTGTGTTTGTCAGCCAATAAGTGGCTGTTTTTAAAGCTGCCTGCGGTGTACGAGGAGAGAGGTGGTGCTGGGAAATTGAGTGAGGAAAATAGATATGGACATATGAATAAACTGTGATAAAGTGAGTGATGGATGTAGAAATTAGACTTGATATAAAGTGTGGGGGGGGAAGTGTATGAATATAAGATGAATCACTTAGGTGAGTCAGTTAAGGGAAACAAGGAAGGAGGTCTGTGAAGTTGAAAAAGTCGAAAAAGTTTGATTAAAGATTGATCAAAAGAAAAAAAAATGGAAGGACAAAGCAATCAGCAAACGATTTTAGAGCGTACTGGGACACATTTCCGCAACAAGGTCAGAATCATTAGCGTAATAAAAGCTTTATTTCGATCGCTATCTTCAGAGTTTAACACGATCAGCTGATGGAAAGATGACGGATGAACAGAAAAGGAGGAGATCATACAAGCAGTTTATACTAGGGCTGCATGATTATGGCAAAAATCATAACCTCGATTATTTTCATAAATATTGAGCTCACTGTTCTTCATCTTATTGTTTTATTTGTACCTTTATTTCATTCATCGGCCAAACAATGCAATGAAATACAATCATACAAGCTCAAATCTTGAATGAAAAGGATCAGAAAGAGGAATAATCTTACACAATCAGAGTGTTTTTATTAGATTATTCATTGATTTTACAACATCTGCATTATTTATCGAGATTAAGATTGATTAATGTGTGTGTGTGTGTGTGTGTGTGTGTGTGTGTGTGTGTGTGTGTGTGTGTGTGTGTGTGTGACTGTTTATTGAATGTGTGTTTGCCTGTGTTGGTCAGATATTATTAGTGTCAAAACAGTCATGCGAAAAGATGGCTCATTTACTTTATTTACACCACAATATGTCATAAGTCATCTTTGTGAGTGTTTGCATGTCTGTGTGCTTGCTTGCTTGTGTGTGTATGCGTGTGTTTGTGTGTGTGCGTGCGTGTGTGTGTGTGTGTGTGTGTGTGTGTGTGTGTCTGTTAAAAGGACTCTGCCAGTGGGTACTTTGGTCTCTAAATGCAGCAAAAACAATGTTCCAAAAGAAACAGCTACTTGATAAAACCTGACGGCCTCGAGGGCAGGGGCAATGATCCTGCTGTGTGTGAGGATTTGTATGTGTGCGTTTGTGTGAGTGTGTACGTGTGTTTATGTTAATGAAAGAAAGTCAGACAGAAAGTGAAGAAGAGGAATATGATAGACATACTGTTGAGAAAGAAAGAAAATTTGTATCCCATTAATTATTCATGTGTATGCATTGTGGTGGGTTTATTTGTTATCCTGCTAACGCGGTGTGTGTGAGCGTAGTAAGTTTGTGTGTGTGTGTGTGTGTGTGTGTGTGTGTGTGTGTGTGTGTGTGTGTGTGTGTGTGTGTGTTTGCAGCCCTTTGCAGGTTCTAAAGTGGGTCCTTAAGGTATAATCTGTCTTTAGGCTAGTTTCAAACCCCGTCTGCTCTGTTGATATGAAGGGCACTGGGTGTGGGTGTTTTTGTCTGCAGCTGCTAAATGTCAGACTGTGTGTGTCCAAATATGCTCCAGGAGATCTGAAAACCAAAAAAGAAGTGTGTTCATCTCCTCCTTCATACCCCTTTATGTGGGTGAAACAGTCTGTGTGTGTGTGTGTGTGTGTGTGTGTGTGTGTGTGTGTGTGTTGTGTGGGTGTTTCTGCCTCCTGAGGTACTCACAGACGGGCGCTTGTTTGACTGGCAGCCAATTCAGTGTTTATTCTCGTCTGCAGATTTTGTTTTTGCGTTATTTGTTTTTGTTTTCCACACACTTCTAAAGCAGTAGACCCAGTGTGCAGAATCCCCCTCACCTTTTTCTCCTGCAGACATACACTTCCAATTTTCTGTACACTCAGATTCTGTCTAGCTATCCACTCCCTTTTTTTTGATATTGAGGGTTCTTTGAGGGATGGTGAAGGTCAGTCTTTTATAACAGTTTCTGTAACTCCTGCTCCTCAGGAATCAGCACCCTGCTGCTCTCCCCATCTAATCAAGTACTAATTTACATCTTAAGTGGTGAATGCAGTTTGCTGCCTGATAGGAAACAGCCAGCAGCTCTCTGTTAAGTGGTTGACTTGGAGAAAGAACCTTTGCTTTTATATGGACTGAGGCAATTTCAACACCCTCAGGTTAAATCAGCCTTATTCAAAACCTAGACAAGGTTCTCAAGTGACATCATACCATTTATTTTGTGTAAAATGAACGTCTGTGAAGGTCTGGACTGTGGTTAGCTGATTGCATATCTGTATGTACACCATGGAATTCAAAATAACTCAAATAACATCTCCTCTGCTGTTTGCAGAGCGTGAAAGAACTCAGGCTTACTGAGGCTATTTAAATTTGGATTTCTCAGAGTTATGGAGGCAAATGTCAGCATTTAACAAATAATTCAAAAAATACATTACCTAAACTGTTATCAGACTCACTTCAGTATTGAAGAAAACTTCACAGTATACAAACAAACGTATCAGGTAAAAAGTGAGCCCAGCTGTTATCAGGCTTAGCAGTGATAAAGCTAAGTTCAAACTTTAGTAGTTAGTTTATCAAGTAAACTTGGGTAGCTGTGAAAGCCTCTGAATTCAAAGGTTCACTTTGCATTTATGAAGCTTGAATGATCATGTGTATCATGATCTTGAACCAGTGACCCTCTGATTCCCAACCCAAGTCCCTACAGACTGAGCTACTGCCGCCCTTGTACACATGTAACTGTACATTATTCCTGTCGTGTTGAGCCAGTCCCTAAAGTTTAAGGCCTTGGAGATGTATCAGCATCAACATTTAAGTATTTTTTAACAGTAAACAAAGGCCACTGTGTTGGTTTAGGGGAGACTTTTGATCCCTGCTTTGTAACTGAGGCCTCAGCCGTGATGCAGAGATAAAGGTTAGGGTCTTAAAGATAAAGATAAGACTACACAGTTGTTCTTTAAAAAACACACACACAGTGTGTAGCATGAGGTGTTATGTTGGTGTTTTTAAGTTTGATCAACAGGTTATCAGGGAACTGTTTGACAGAAGCAGGACAGGTTGCCTCAGGGCTTGGAAAACTGTTTTGGTCCACACTTTATGGTACTGTCAGATAGATATTCAGCATCCAATACCTCTCATGCATCATTGGACTCAGTTTGTCATGCACACATCCTAATGAATAGAATCAAAAGAACATTTTATGTTAAGCATAATTTAAATGCAGCCTGTAACCCTCTGGATCTTGACTGGAATCTAAAATGAAGCTGCATGTGGTTGCACAGCACGTGTTTGTTCTATTGGACTCAGTTAGGTCAGAGTTTAAAAAAGTGAATTGCGAGTGATGGGAAAATATTCCTTTTAATTACTTGACTTCTTTCTTAACTTTCATGTGATATCTAGTTTTTTTTATGCTAATCCAGGAAATTGTGTTGAATTCTAATCTGTATTTTTTTTTAAAATCACAGATAATACAGCCTGTTTATAAATGTGTCCTTGTAAAGGGATTTTTGATCACTGTTAGTTATGCTCTTTCTGCCCATAGCAGATACTCAATATAATTAGTCACTTGGGTCTTTACAGATTGCTGTACTTTCCATTGTTGCTCTAATAAGTAACTCTTCTCTTTTTTAACCCCCAGGTGACCGATGTGAGTTTGACCGGCGGCAGGGCAGGTGTGTGCCAGGTGTGTGTCGCAATGGAGGGACGTGTCGGGAGCTTTCAGGCGGGGGTTTCCGCTGTGAGTGTCCTGCAGGAGGCTACGAGCGCCCATACTGCACAGTCGCTGCCCGATCCTTCCCACCCAAATCCTTTGTCATGTTCAGGGGCCTCCGACAGAGATTTCATCTGTCAATCTCATTAACGTAAGTAAATCTCTTTTTTGTCTTGTCTCTTCTCTTACCTCTCCTAATGTCTATATTTAAAAGTTTCATTTTTCTTTCTTTCCTGTTTTGTATTTGTGACTTTGATTCATCTTTTTTTTCTCTCAGCCTTCCTTTCCCATCATATAGTTGCACTTTCACAGAGATCCATAAGCAGTGCCTTCTGATTCTTATGGAGTCTGTCTCCCCTTCGCTTTAATCTATTTATTTCATCTCCTCTGCTTAGGGATCGATCCTATTATTTATGGTTTCCCTCTTTTCTTCCTCCACATCTCTCACCAGCAAGAAGAGTGCTTTCCACCCTCTCTCCTCTTTCATCATTCAATTTACTGGTTTCAGTTACAGCTCATTTTCTTTCTCTCTTCCACTCTTGCTTCTTATCCTATCATCTTATCATCTTATATTCTCCTGTTTCAGTATTGCCTGTATCAGCAAAGAGTCCAATGGCACATGCTGCAGGGGTCAAAATGTACTTCTCAATAAAGGAATCTCCCATTTAGGCATTTATGTGTTTAAATGTAAAGTCTAAATTTATGCAGCTTCTCAGCACAACCTGTAAAAACCAGTGAGTCACATCAGAATATCGACTATTTTATTCTGCAGCCTTAAAAACTTTCCTGCATAAGCCAGAGGCTCTCAGGTAGTTTAGTTTTCTTTTAGATATCATGCCAAGCCTTGCACACAGACTGTTACTGGAGAGGATAGTGATCGTTTCCTTTGTGTAAGGTTCTTTGTCTTTGTCGTTTCTGCTGCTTGTTGGTCCTTCATCTCTTGACATGCAGAGTTGTCATCCACTGGAGATCTGAAGTGCTCCTTAAGAGTGATCTGGCAGGATTATGGGATGGTTGCCATGGGTGATGTCATCTAATCATAGTTGCTAAGGGGATATTGCCCATGGGGTTGTTGCTAGGCTGATGTGGTCATCACTGTGTGGTGGTTAGCTTTTTAATCCTAATGAGCCTCGGTGTGATTTTAATTTTATGTAAAGACTATTTACATGTAAACTTCTAGTTAGACAGTGATGGTATGTCAATTACTGTTCCTTTGTTAAAGAGCAGCTCTTTTAAAGATTTTAAGATGGTTTGTGTTAGAAAGTGTGTAACATTCTTTCCCATTAACAACTAAAATCCCAGTGGTCTTTATAAGAGGGTGGGATGCAGACTTATAAAGAGCACTGGGTACTGGTTGATAATGACAAAAAACAATATTTTGTTTTACAGTTTATGTGTCTTTAAAGTGTAAAAGATAGGTTAACCAGATTATTATGGTGCTGTAGTGTTGATAATGTTGATACATAAATCATAGATCTCTCTCTGGCTTATTGAGCAGACTGTGTTTGTGTTTACACCACCTCCTTCATAATGTCATTCACAGGGATCTATTCTTCTTATATGGACACATGGGAAAATGGTGTTGATAATGTAACCCTTTTATCAACTGGGGCGTTTGAGCTGAGTTTCTGTCTTGTGCAACTTGCAGAGCAGCACACTTCTCCCTCTCATTTGTGTCCTGGAATGATTTAGTCAGCTGCACCTTTTACTTATCACTGACTCAAGACAAATTTTTCACCAAGCTTTGAGCGGCCTTTTTATGGGGAACAAAACCTTCACTATTGTCTAAGGCTCGTCTAAAATGTAGACATTTAACCTGTGCTTGAAGATGAGTTGCAGGAAAACGATTCTAATGTATAAAATTCATCATTAACCTTAAATAACAAGGCATTGAGTAGAATGATTTATTACCCACCTTTTCAAAATATTTTGTATGCTGAACATGCTCCGGCCACTTCACTATATTGCCGCTTTCATAGAACTGGGCGCATCAACTTCAGCCTACAGGGTTAACTGTGATTTCTACAGCTATCTGTAGGAACCTGCACAGTTACATATTTTAACTTTCAAGACATCCAAACGCTCAACCTTACTCTTTTTATACGGTTACTTTACTGTTATCTGTTGGTGACTGTAAATACACATTACTCTGAGTGACTGCCAGCTCACTTCCCCTGATGTGTTTTATTTAGCATCCTGTTTGCTGCCAGCTACACTCCTTGGCCTGATTTTCACATCAGGACCAAACAGAACTTCATCATTATTCATGTCACTTACTCTCTCCCAGAGCATTTTATTTCTCCACTGCAAAATGTGTCTTACATCAGAAGTTTTAGGAGCTGTCACTCTGCCTGGGAAAGTATGATTTAAAATATGTCTGTGCTGTATAGAACTGTGACAATAGAGATATATTTGATCCTTAATGCAAATATTGAATGTGAGGAAGCCATCAAGGGGAGTTTGTGAATGAGGGTACTGCAGCTACTTTGATGTTGTCAGTACCTAATGAGCACATTTTTATCAACAAACCCTTAGCACACTTGTGATAACTGACATATTAAACAGGTTACTTGTACTTTTTTAAAATTTTGCTTATGGCTTTAGCCTTCCTACAAATTCACGCCTCAAGACTCCACTCCACCATGTCTACATTATTAATGATGTCAATGTCCAATATTAATAACAAGAAAATGATTATCACAAAACCACTAGAGACTGCGTCTGCAAACTACAAGATAGGATGACACTGTGCTCTTCTAACCATAGCAGAGCCATGTAAAAATACACATGCTCTCTATTGAATACCAGTGGCTTATTTTAGACACAGGCAACATTGTCAGATAACAGGGGTGTATAGTTATCCTGACGGAAATCTTGATAATGTACTTTTTTCCACAGTACATACCTTAATACTCCTGTATTGAAGTTATGTTACATCTCCTGTTTTCTCTGGTTGATGTTTAAACCATGAAAATAAAATGCAAATACTACTCTGAGTAGTTTGTAATTGGTGCGGAAACCAACTAAAATGATTACTGTTTCCTCTATATGACTTACAAAACCAAACCAGACCGCCAAGAAGACGATTGAGCATTTCCATATAGTTGTTGAAATGCTTGTTACCCGCTGCCACCAGGTCGGTGTCTGAAAAACTATTTACAGCAGGGCTTTAGTTCATATTTTCCATGTAAAAGATTCACAGCAGCCATTTTCACGCATTCCTGAGGATTTCTGCCCATGCAATTCTCCTGATCTGGTTCTTCACAGCAGGAGAATATCTCAGTGCAATGGGATGTGGGGCGGGGGGTCCCATGAGGAAAGACATGACTTAAAAAATATGACGTAGAAGTGACAGACCAAGCCAGAGAGATGCTATAATTAGAATGTTTGCCTTCATGTCAATGCAATGTGTAGTTCTACAGAATCACAGTATCAACAAAAGAGCGGAGAAGAACATTCTGGCAAATAGAAAGCATAATGCAGCCGTTTAATTACAGAGATGCAACGGTCGTGCACAGATCGCAGGGAATAAATGTACCCAACCCCTCGCACTGGCTAGATTCACCCTGATTCCATCCTGCTGCGTTGTCACATCAGCTCACTCCGGCTTCATGCAGAAAATATTACTGGTGGCTGGGCCGAGAGACTCCAGATGAGTCTGATGGAAATATTGGGCAATTTGCCTTCAAATACTTTGTTTTGTGCAAGTGTGAATAAGGCTAGACTATTAAAGATTTTTGTTTTCTCAGAGAATAAAATTCTCAGAACAGAATCTGTTAAAAGAAAGGAGATACAACTTTAGTTCACAGAGGTCCACAGGTGAAAGCCAAGCAAAAAGCAAGACATTCAATTAAAACCATTTCAATTCAAGTGGCCATTTTTTGCAGTGGGGATCTTCCTACATCTTGTTGCCAGCATAGAAGATTTGTCAGTATCAAAAATGTTAAGTAGTTCTTTTGATCAGGCTGTGTTAACATGGCAGCCTTGGCCTCAGCACGTCCCTCTGGCCTTGCTTTGGAAAACCGACTATTGTATGACTCTGAGCAGCTGCGCGCTGCATGTTTTATTAACTGCAGTTCAGTTTTGTTCTTCCAAACTAAGCGTGTAAGAGGAGGCTTTCAGAAGTCATTCTGTTTTTCTCTGTGAATTAGGTTTGTGTATGGCTCACTGTATCAAGGTCGTACGCTGCAGTAACATCACCAGAAGTCATTAGAAACTCTTCTAAAAATGTATGAATGTGTCTAATATTACTCATTTTATTTGTGCTGTATATTTTCAAATAAACAAAACAGCAAGGATATGCTTGTCAAAATATATAATGATACACATCATGCATATATTCATGGACATGTTTGTCCTGTTTGTGTGTATTTTGTAGTTTTGCCACCCTCGAGAACAGTGGTCTTCTCTTCTACAACGGCCGCTTCAATGAGAAACATGACTTCATCGCATTGGAGATACAAGAAGGACAAGTGGTGCTCAAATATTCCACAGGTACTACTGAATATCTTTTTTATTTATTTATCTTATCTATATGTATATCTGTATCTTCATGCTTGATATTGCCTATGTGTTGTTTTTGTCTAATTGTAAAGACCATTTTGTCCCTATAAAAGATGAAAAGATGTGATAATGTTTGGTGTGATGTGTAACATTTATTTATGGCTTTTTTGTTGTTGAAGGCTCTAAAACTAAGATAGTACCCTGTTATGAGTTGTGATTTGTTGTGGCTATGTTTTTGACAGTTTTAGCATTCTGTGGAAATAAATGATCACCAGGAAGGATAAAAACTAATCATAGACCTGATTATGGACTGAAAGACTGTCAGTCTTGGTCCTGGAAAACATGATGATAAATACAGAACTTAAAAGGTTAATTGTACATATGCTGTCCAAAAATTGTTGTTACATGCCCACATGTGAGTCTGGAAATTGGAGCAAATAAAATAGAGATGAGCAAAACAAGGACGTAAACAAAAGTTGATGCCTGCACTCCATATATACAGTGGCATATAAAACCTGTTTGCTATGCCCCAATGAATTAGTATTTGAACCTGATCGGGTTTTTGACACCAGCTTCATCTGTCCACCTACAGGTGAATCATCCACTCAGGTGAATCCCTTCCTGCCTGGTGGTGTGAGCGATGGAAACTGGCATACTGTTCATATCCACTACTACAACAAGGTAGCTTTACCAGTTTGATTTGTGATGTTTTCTTTTGATCCTACTTTTTGTGTTTCTAATGTGTGTTTGATGAGTTATCCTTTGAAGTTTTACACTTTACTCATGATTATTTGTACTGATGCGTCAGCAGAACAGTTTCTCAGCCTTCATACCAAATAAGCACTTTGAACTGAGCTAAAGTGTTAGCACTGTTTTGTGGGCGTTAGCTTGTCACCGTTTCATTCATACATTCTCGCAGCACATCTCCTTTAATTTTCTTCATGTTCTTTCATTCTTCTCAGCCAGCTACACGCTATGTGAGTATGAGTGTGTGTCAGGATGCACATACACTTCGCCCTGTCTTTGTTTCCTTCTTTTTCTTTAGACCCCCCCCTCCCTCCCCTCCCCCTTATTTTCTCCTCCTCTTCCCCTTTATTTCACCAGCAGACAGTAAATGAAGAGTGAATGTGTTCTCTGTTGGATTTTACTCCATACTCTCCTTACCCATATGCTTGGTCTGTTGTTTCTAATTTCTCCCCTTTTTTCCAAATTCTTCCCATTTCTCTCTGGCATTGGTGTACAGTAGATGTGTAGCTCTGAGAATAATCACATGTGTATGACATTTTCTAATTTAAGGTTCCTAGTGTAGCGTAAACTCTAGATTAAGTAAATTCAGATGTATTTTTTGCATGATTTCTAGTGTGCTGGGATTTATTTTGGGTGGGGTGGGGAGGGGCTGAGGTGGTCTTTGTGGTCACTTTTTAAAATTTCTTGTTTCTGTGTGTGTGTGTGTGTTCAGCCCAGACGAAGTATGACCGGTGAGGCCCAGGGTCCGTCAGATGAGAAGATTGCAGTTGTGAGTGTTGACGACTGTGACACAGCGTTGTCGCTTCGCTTTGGTATGCAGCTGGGAAATTACAGCTGTGCTGCGCAAGGCAAACAGACCAGCAACAAAAAGTGAGTTCAGACTTCTTTCACCTCTTCTGTTTTGAGTCGATGCCTATGCTTTCTTTACATTGTGTCTTGAAGGCACCAAACATGCTGTATTAAGCCAGTGACTAAATGGCACATGATTCAGAGTTAAATGTTACATTCATAATTTCTGCAAGATGAGGTGAGTCAGATCAGCCGGATGAGGTGGCTGTAGGATCAATGTGGGGGGGACGTGAGGCTTTAATGAGGCATGATTCTTTGCCTTCTGGTGCTTCTTCATATCTACCTGTGTCTCTGATTGTCTTGTGACTCATCTGCTCATTCTTCCTGGCATTCATGGCCATTTATTTTCATCCTCTCTGATGACTTTCTCTCTCTCTCTCTCTCTCTCTCTCTCTCTCTCGCTGAGTCTTGATTTGTGTCTCTCTTACTTTATCTTAAGCACAACCAAATCATTCAATTTGACATGAAATCCTCAATGTTGCTTTGAAGTGTCTGTTTTGTTCGACCTTGTCAAAGTTTTGAACTCTATTCAGCTTGTGCTGTTTGCCTACTTAAGTAAATGTGTACATATTTGCCAATAAGTGCATACAACACACACATCCATACACACAAATTCACTCTAAAAACAGCCTGTCATACTGTTGATGTCTGGCCTCGTCTCTGTAAGCTGTAATCACGTTGGCTGTGTTCAGTGCGCCGTCAGGCTGAGAGAAGGGAAGACAGATCAAAGAGGAAGGACAAAGACTAACGCTTCAACACTCTCTTCCTTTGTTCCGTCTTCATTTCTCCATTACCAGCTCATCCTCCTCTTACTCTGCCTTCACATCCTCCATTAATGACGCTCTCTATTGATGTTTGCTGTAACTCTCACTTAATCTCTTGTTTGTTCGACTCTGGCACCTCTTGTCTCTCTTGCTTCCATAAATCCATATTCCACAGGCGTTTATTTGACGTGAGACGCCAGAGCAAGTTTTGATGAAAACCCCAATCACATCTGGGGAGAATGAAACACTGCTTTTAAATGACAGCACAACTGTTTTTGTTTCTCAGTTTTGCAGCCCCATGACTTGTCATTTGATGCCTCCGACATCTCTCTCCTTTCATTTCCCCAGTTTCTTTTCCTTCCACCCATCTTCCATCTGTCTTGTCATCCGCCTTTTCACCCCCTCTCTCTTGGTATTTGCTGTAACTTACAATTAATCTCTTGTTTGTTCGTCTGCCTCCCCGGCTGCCCTAACATCTTCCTTTTTGTGTCTGCTGTTTTTTTGTCTTCTTTTTATGTTTGTGACTCTGCTATTTGTTGACATCCTTTTTACACATCTACCTGTTATTTCTGGCTCCTGTCTCCTTTCTATCCCTGCTTTGTCATTCACCTTTGCCTCTCCTCTCCTGATATTTGCTGTGACTCAGATGTAATCTCTTGTTTGTTCATTTACCTTATGGTTTGTCTCCTTCCCTGGCATCTTTCAATTTTACACTCCCTTTGCTATTTCTCCTTTTCCCACAACATCATCACCATCATTATCTGTTCTCCTCAATATCCACTCTTATTCTCTGATTCATGTTCCTTTGACATTTACCTCTGATGTGAAATTTAATCCCTGGGTTTACTGTATGTAATCCCTTTGCATCATTCGTACCCTTTTTCATGTTGTTCCTATTCTTACCTTACCTCCCTTCATCTCATCCCCTGTCATCCTTGAGTGTTTATTCCTTTTCCCCCTACACCCTATGTACACCTCTTACTCTTAATCTTCTTCCCTTTCAGATCATTGGACCTGACGGGTCCGTTGTTTCTGGGCGGAGTCCCCAATGTACCAGACAACTTCCCATTTGGTGCCAGAGAGTTTATCGGCTGTATGAAGGAGCTGCACATTGACAATAAGCCGCTGGATTTAGCTGGATTCATCGCTAACAATGGAACGATACCTGGTCAGCACTGATAACAGTATTTCTCCTCACTTAAAAACATGACCGGTAACATATGATGTCTAAACATTTCATTGGTCCTCTTAACATACATTTGACTAAACTTTGTATAGCCTTATTGACATATTATGTGTAAAGATACAGAATCTGTTGGTGTGATCTGAGTAGCCTCCTCCACAAGGGTTTCATTCTGCTTTGATTGTGTTCATTAAAGCAATCTGAATCCATTGAAATGCAATCCCAGAGCCAATCAGCAGTCATCTAACTTTGATTTAGCTTTAACTGATGTCTATAAGCAGACACCCCCTCATTGATGATGTTCCTCAACACCAACTACTTTCTTGCTTCTGAAGTTGCTAGTTAGGCTGTAAACAATGGCTACACATGGAAAAAGGAAGTGTTGGCAGGAAGTCCTTTATTGCTATCCCCTGATTACACTGGATTCTCTGAAAAAGGCTCCATTGCTCCCAGAGGCTATGACATTTAAGACGATAGCCAGTGCAGTCCAGTACTGATCTTTTTATCACGCTGATAAGGAGAGGTCTAAAGATCATCATCAATCTTCTAAACACTCCATAGGGTTTTATCTTATGAATTAACTGACACGTGTCATTGGTGATATGTTTCTGTAAACTTAATAACTGATGTTACTGTCTCTCTCCGTTGCTTCTTCAAGGCTGCAGTGCCAAGCTCCCCTTCTGTAAGTCCAACCCCTGTCAGAACGGAGGAACATGCAGGGTGAGCTGGGAGACTTTTTCCTGCGACTGTCCACTAGGATACGGAGGGAAGGACTGCAGTCATGGTAAGGAGCTCCATAAGTTTAGTTTTTAACCTATGGTCCTTCATGTGCACTTCATAAAAGGTAGAAGATTTTTAACAATGTCACAGTAATGTTTTAAAAAACGCATCACCATCGAGGGAGGCAATGGCTAGGACAATTGGATGATGAATTTGTCTCATGCCAGTAAAGAATTGAGTGGTTGTGTTCTTATAATGAAGCAGAACAACTCTGTCATCAGTGGCATTTAATTGTCATTTATTTGTTAATTTTGAATGATTCTTCTGAAGATAAGATGCTACTGGAAACACCTTTCAACTTGTTCTGTATATGTCTCTGTTTTTTTCAATCTGGTTAGCTGTAAAACGAATTCTGTTTTAATGCTGCTTCATTCTTAAGTAGTTAAGATTTAAAAATGCTTTGTCATTCCTTCATCCCAGTTAATGCCTCAGTCTGGGCTTCAGTATTTTTCACTCTGTTCGACTCCTGCTCCTTCATTTTGCGCTGACCCATCACAGCTGGAGGCTCTAAGTATTGGGAGAAAAATAGAGTGTGAGTGGAATCCTCATGGAGTCATGGAGGGATGTGTGGATTGATGGCTGGGTCATTGTTGACCTTTTTGAATATATTGATAGGAAGACAAGAAAAAGATGATTCCCTTGAACTCATAATATTCACTGGAAACTGCAGCGCTCACACTCGTTATTCTAAGGAATAAATTCAGGACACATGTGAGGTAGTCATAAATCACTGACTATGTGCCTCATATCTGTATATAATTTGACCTATAAATCCTGAGTGATTCCCCACACATAAGTGATTCTCAGTAGCCCAGGTGGACTCTAGATTTACTCATCTGTATTTACTGTCATGCCTTTATTGCTAGCATGGACAGTTAACTCTTGGGGGAAATCTTGTAGAAAAGGCGCTTGTCAGATGAATGGAAGTTTTTTTCTTTTTTTAAATCCCAATGGGGATTTTTTCCAAGTTATTAAACCTATTAAGTGCTTGTCAATAATAATACAACAGTACACTTTGAAACAAAGGTCTCAGCCCAGGGGTGAATGTTGTATGGTGTAGTGGCCATGTATTAACTTAGTTCACTTAAATGATATCAGCCTACCCCCTGAATCAAGGTGAATGTAGTAGCTATTTACAGATCACAGCTGTTATTGGCAATCGTGAAAAATATTGTGTAATCAGTAACACCACTGCTGTCGCATGTTTATTAATTGGGACAATTTCTCCATGCTGGCACCTGGCACTAGAGATCGCCTCATAGATCCCTGCTTATCTGCCTAACACCTTTGACCACAAGACAACCAGCGAACCCCTCATTTTTACTTGGTCTAAACTTTTGCAAAATAATGTATACAGTCCTAGTACACTGACTTCTTGAGGTTGTTCTTCATATTGCACAGTCATGTATTAACTCTCTGTCACTCATCCTTTGCCTCAGTGATGCCACACCCTCATCGCTTCCTGGGTAATAGCGCCCTCTGGTGGGACCTTAAGAACGACGTGACTATCTCGACGCCCTGGTACCTTGGCCTGGTGTTCAGAACGAGAGCGCGAGAGGGAACCTTACTGCAGGCTCAGGCTGGCCAGTACACCAGCCTGCTTTTCCAGGCAAGCCCACATACAACACACACAACATAATTACTTTATAGATTTTAAATCGCACCGGATATAACTTTATTTCTGGAAAATAAAGTTTCTTATTAACCTGTTGATTCCTGTTGCAAAGAGTATTGTTGTGACTGATTGCTGTGTGGTGGTTTATACATTTGGCTGTGCTGAAGATAATAAAGAATCAGAAGTGTTTCTTTGTTTTACGAGTCTTTCTGCATTGGCAGAAGTCCAGAGAGCACTTGTTGCATTACGCCTAACACATAACACTGTCTTTCTCTATTTTATTCTTGAATACTTCAATATTATGCTTTTATTAGATTTTGCACATTTTCAGCCAAATCTTACCGGGTGGCACAATGTTAAACACTGTGTGGGCAGCTTAATATGTTGGCAGCAGTGTGGTTGATTATGGGAATTATACTGATGTCTCTTGTTAATGTGTTTTTATTCAGCGTCTAACTAATTTCATTTTCTAGACACAGATGTCTAAATGCTTCCCTTGTCCTGAAATAATGTACATTTTACATTTGATATCCGAAGACTGCATTGATTTAGCAGCTTCTTAGCAGGAGTGCAGCCAAGATGTTGGATTTCACACTCCCCCACACACACACACACACACACACACACACACACACACACACACACACACACACACACACACTCCCCACACACACGCACACGCACACACACACACACACACACACACACACACACACACACACACACACACACACACACTCTGCTGTTTTCACTGACTCATGTTCCCTCTCTCTCTCTCTCTCTCTCTCTCTCTCTCTCTCTCTCTCTATTTTCTTCTCTCTTATTGGTGTTTGCCTGTTTGTTTGTTCCTTCCTTCCCTTTCAGGTGATAAACGGTCAGCTTGTGTTCTCGGTGGCCCGCGGTTCAACCAGACCGGTTCGCTTGCGGTTGGATCAGGTTCAGGTGGCAGACGGCCGGTGGCATGACCTCCAGCTGGAGCTTCGAGATGTTCGCAGTGGACGTGAGACTCGCTACGTTGCCACACTACGGCTCGACTTTGGGCTCTATCAGGTACTGGTATAGGAGAAGAGCAGGAGAAGATTTGTACACAGCTGATGTTTCAATTAGCTTTACATTCACACTTTCTCATGTTAATCTCAAATGTCAGGATTTTTTGTACCAAGGCTTTTTTACACTGTAGATATTTTCTATCCATGAACAGCAGGCTCTCTAAAATGTAGGCTGGTAGTTTCCTTAATCTGTGGAGGATTACAATTTTGAATTGTGCAAGATGACATTAATTTTATATATACATGCTTGTTCTTATGTGAGGCACATCTAGTGTGATACAGTGCTGCACACATAATTTTCCATTCTGGGATGTGACATCTGTATTTGTAGATATCATTTTGTTTTATGTTGATTTATTTCTTTAATCATCTGTCAGCAAGTCATGGCATTCATTTTTTTATTGGAGTTCATCAGGCTATTCTTCAAAGTGGATCAACAACATTTTAGATAAAAATTGTTAACCCTCCCAGCTGCTAATTAAACATTTGGTACCTTTGCAATAGCTTGGCATGTTTGTAGCTTCGTTTGGCCAGATCTTCCCATCTATTTCTGCATCTTTCACTGCTGCTCAAATATTGAAAAATGGGGCTCATTGATTTTTCTTTTCATGTTTGTTACAAGCTAAATCATCTGTCAACACTGTTTTGCAGCACTGTCTATGTTATCATTTAAGCATTGAACTTCAAAACAATGACTGTGTGTTACTGTTTTCTCTTATTGAAGTCAATCATCCACCCTGCAGTTATAAAACAATTTACCCCATTTTCACAGCCACCTCTCAAACCGTTGAATGACAGCAGCAGTCATTATTATTGACTTCTCAGTGACAAAATAGAGGACTTATGACTTTCAGTTTGAAATGTTAAAAAACAAGAAAAATCTATATTTCCTCATAGAAACCATCCTTCTATTCTTTTATTGCTATGAAGGATTTCTATCTTACAGACTTTCATTGTGTAAACTATTAAATCTATCATTCTATTTAGTCAGACCTTTGTGAGTGATGACGTCTTTACCTCCCTCTGACTTATTTCATCATTCCTTATTCCTGTTGGCAGCGCTGATATTTTCACGTTATTTAAAGAGTAATGGTTTTAAATGTGTGTCTTTGTTCAGGTATTCTGATTGCATACAGCTATTAATAATAATAATCTTTGCCCTTCCTGTCTCCATCTGTCCCTTAACCTCTCTCCCGCTTTCTCTCTTCATTAGGGAACAGTGATAGTGGGAAATGAGATTCATGGTTTGAAGGTGAAACATCTTCATGTGGGAGGAGTGCTGGGCTCCGGAGAGGTTCAAAACGGGATAAAAGGATGCATACAGGTGATGATGGATGAATTGAATATTTAATGCTTATTGATGGATGGGAAGCCTGAAGTATTGGCATGTAAGAGATAGAAATGTGCTAAGAAACGATGTTGAGAAAGAAACATGAATGAAGCTGTTTAAACACAGACACACCTCTCTCTCTCTCTCTATCTCTGCAGGGGGTTCGACTGGGTGTACGGCCTGATGCCCCTCCCCTGCCCCGCCCGAGCAGAGCTGTCAAAGTAGAGACAGGCTGTAGTGTTGGCAACCCCTGCGTCTCATCTTCTTGCCCCTCACACAGCCGTTGTTCGGACGAATGGGAGCGCCACACCTGTCTCTGCGAACCCGGTGAGTCATCAGAGAGATGATGCTGGATTTTGTTGACAAGTTTTAAAATGTTGTAATCTAGGAAAAAAAGCAGAAAATGTTTGCTCACAATCATGAAGTGACGTTTAGAGAAATTAACTGTCCTGAGAAAGTGAGAGACTGCACTCACATGCTGAAAATATGATTGTTTACACTAAAATGTATTTCACTGCACAGCGTATTAAGGGATCCTGCTGGGCAGACACAAGGGCACCTAATGAAGTATTTGAATAGAAGCTTTCTGACTATAACAAACGTGTTCATTGTTATACTGCAAGTCATACTAACTCCTGCAGGCTGTGACCGACATACAGGCCTCACTCCTTATTTTCTGCTTTCTGCCATGTGTGAAGTCAATTGAGCCATATCAGGACTTCTCTTACTAAACCATACGTGATATGTGACTCAGTGGATAGTGTTGCTGTGTGAATGACCGTCTGATTTTGTAGCATCAGTAATTGTGTTTTAACAGAGGCTAGAACTGAGCGGGGTAAGAGTCTGAATATTTTGACAAGGTGAAAGAAGCCAGCTGACTCAGAGAGAGGAAAGGGAATCATTATAATATGGCTATATCTGTGTGGGTGTGCGCCAGTTCTCTAACTGGGTTAAATAGATATTTGGGATGGCATAATGAGCTCTCATCCACCGAGGGAAAGAAGCCGTCTGCAGGCTAACTTCCAAAATCTCCTTAGTCAGGTGAAAATAATGAGGCAGAATTAATGTGATGAAGAAAAACCTGATTAGAGGAGATGTGAAAGAGTGAAAAGTAAAGAAAGAGAGAGGAGAGGGAAAGTAAACTGCAAATAAAGAAGTAATGAATGAAAGAGAAGACAAAAGAGAACAATGGAGAAAAAAGAAAAGCAAAGAAGGAAGAAGAGAGAGACTGTGTGTAAATGATTAATGAAGAGAAAGAGGCTGATGACAGAAATAGTATAAACACTGAAAGTTTCGAGGCTAGATTGGGAAAGAGAAGAAAGAGGGCACGAGAAAGTCAAATCAAACAGCCTGAAAACACTGGTAACACATTTGGGAATAGATCCAGAGACTACTGGTGTATGCACATAGAGAGACATGCAAATCACAGACGTGAGAGATAATTGTCATGACAGACTCACACACAACAGAGGAGGAGTATTAGCTACTAATGCATCAGCAGACTACACCAACCAAACAGAGATGACAAATACCAAAAGTATATTCATGATTAAAGTAGAGAGAGACAAGAGCTGGAACAGCAGGTTTAAGAAAAAGAAACATGTGAAACATCCGGTGAGAGACAGAGTATGAGCAAAAGATGAATGTGCACGTTCACTTTTTTCATTTTTCACTGCCTCGATATTGATACTTTCATCCTTAGTATCATCTAGTACCTTCTTCCTTGTATTTTAGTCTTTACGCTCCCTAAACACATCTCTTATTATCTGGACTAACTGGTTAAAAATACAATCTTTATGTAACTCTGTTTCCTGTTTGCTTCTTCAAAACTGATATTAATTAAAGCTGTCGCCGAACAATTTGTAAATGTAGTTTAGGGTGACTGGTTAGGGGAAATAAGAAAGCTGTAATTTGGTTTTGTTCATGTAGACTTTGACTCAAGGTTGTGTCACATGGCCTAAACTACACTGGAAATGGGGAAATATCACAAAAGTTTCCCTTGAATTTGAATAAATGTAAATGTCAGCGTGTATATGGGTTAGGTTTTGCTTTGCTGTTGTCACCAAACAGAGGAAAGCTCTATTTCAACAACAAACACTTTAGGTTAAAGCCGGGAAGTTAAAGCTGAAAGCCAACTGAGTTTTATTTTATTCAAATGTGAATCAGTGACTTTAGGTACGTTTCAGCTGCAGATGTCTGCATGTAAAGTAGAAATACCTTTGCACTGAAGTTGACTCGGTCACACCTCTGCGACTGAGCAAGCCGGAAGAAACTGCGGAAGAGAATTTCAAAGGCAAGTTTTCGAAGAAAGAAAAGTTTGGAAACGAGAGCATGAGATTAAAGCGGAGGTGGAGGAGTGAAGAAGGGGCGAGTGAGTGAGAGAGTGTGTTACATGGAGGATGTAGTTTGTGAAAGTGAAGAGCCTCAGGCCTGAAAGCATGGAAGAGGAAGCACAGAGGGGCTGCTATCCCTGTAGCATCCTGCGCCAGCCCGCAAGCTAATGCTAACACCCTGACTTATTATCATGGAGACTCTCACACACACACACACACACACACACACACACACACACACACACACTAAGCATTTGCAGAAACTTCACGTACATGCATCTATTTACTGTAAACACACACACACACACACACACTCATGATCATTATATTTCATCAGCTCAATGGGCATTAAAAATGGATTTTGTTTTAGAATGAATGCTGCTTAGAGACAAATCAAATCAATGTTTAATATAACCAGAATGAGAGAAAGAAAAGAGAGGTGCACTCTAAATAATTCTCTTTCATGTGTGTATTTGTGTGTGTATTTAAGCCTGATGCTAAAACTAGCCCAAATGATTCTACCAATGAACTGACAGGAGGTCTGATTCGTGCACAGCCTCCAAGAAAACATACACATTAACATTTAGACACACTCACTGAGACGAGGTTCTGCATGACAAAGCACAGAGACATCTGCTCTTTCATCCTCTGAATGTGTGTGTGTGTGTGTGTGTGTGTGTGTCTGTGTATGTGTGTCAGTCAGAGAAAGTATATTGTACTGTACAGTGGTGTGTGACAGCTGCTGCCTGTTGCTACAGGCTAATTTACTGCAGTGAAAATTTAATTTAATATGATAAATTACAGCCATGTTGATTTATGTCTGCTTCAGTTCCCCGAGTTGTTTAAAAATCGACTTAGTTGCAGCACATGTGGTAAGAATTAGTGTTTGAGAACAGGAAACCTGCTAAATGTTTTTTCGGTGTTGCCAGATTTATCGAGTTCCATTTAAATAGTGATAAAAAACAGAAAGTGCTGAATAAATATTTCTTCAAAAGGAGTGTGTCAGAAATGTATATTTTATCAGAATATTGTTTTTTGTTAGTGATGCGAGGCTGCAGTATATTTAGCTCAGTCCCTGTGGGATACACGGGGAGAGATTTATGAGTTTCTGCCTGTTCTTTCCTGGTCAGACCTACAGTAGGTACCAGATCCTGAAGGTGCTGAATCAGGGTAAAGTTGTTCCCTGTCTGTGACAAATTGTTTCTCAGCTACAAATGTCATTTATTGATCTGGTTTGATAACAAAACTAAAACTATACAAGTGTTTTGGTAAGAGAGATAAGAGCGATGTGAAACCAAAACGCTGAAGTTAAAAAATAAAAAAATCTTTATGGAGCTGAATAGAAATTAGTTAAAGGTCCCACAATGAGCGACTTCTCTCCACATTATTCTGTTTCAACCTTGACTACTTCTTATGAGATATTTCTGACATCCAAAACTTTCCACTGTCAGAAAGAAGAAAATTGGATACACACAGCGTAAATGGACGGTTCAGTGAACACATGACTCATCTTTCTTTTCCTGATTGTCATCTGGAGAAATCAAGTTGATGTTGTGTGACAATTAAAGGTCCAAAGCCAGACATGACGGATGTGAGTCACTCTGGATGAGTGTATACAGCCGAACAGCCAAACCTTCTCTAAGGAAGCTGTGGGATCTGACTGTTACATATCAAAACCCACATACACACATCTGATTTAGAGCCCTTTGTTCTCACAGATTCAAGAATCTGTTCAATATTGTTGTGACAAGGCCAGTGTCATTATAAGAGTCTGAAAACAGCCAAGGCTGCTGCCGCCTCTCTGTCAGTTGCCATGGTGAAAGTCTGAAGATGTATAGGATGGATGTGTGTGTGTGTGTGTGAGAGAGGGAGGGAGAGAGAAAAAGAGAGAGAGAAGGAGAGAGTGATCTTTTAATCATGGAAACATTGCTGTTGTCTTTACTCTTTTGTTTGTAGAATTCCTGATATTTTCAGGCAGACAGAAAAAAGAAAGGATAAAGCAAATGAATTGAAAATGAAGGTTTCCGCAAGGAGGAATGGCAAGGACAGTGTGTGTTTCCATTGCAAATTACAACACCTGCAGTTTCACAAAGCAGAGAGAGTGCTTTAAAGAATAGGAGTCATTGAAAACCTTCTGTTGTGTCTAGAGCGGCAGCCAAGGCCACATGTTTGAAAAGCAGTGAGTGGTGTCCATATGTTTTGTGGACAAATGCATGAAAGCAGACCTCACACATACAGTATCTGTCCGCTGCAGAGGGAGGAATGCAGACCTCGACAAGCTGCACACACTCTTCAGTCACTCTTCAATCTATAGAAACCTCCTCTTTTCATTCCTGTTAAATTGAAGGGCAGCCTGAAAGCATAACACACTTACTGGAGGGTGAAAGGAGATTGTATGTGAGGCTGAGACTTTTGTTGGAGAGACTGTCAAAGCAATCAGTGTGACACTCTGGGCAAAATGTAATATCCTGTTGGAAAGATTACATGGCTTTTTATTTCACTTGATACGTTTATTATTCTTCATTTGAATATTAACATGAGTCTTGTGTGTGACGGTGTTCGTGTTACTGATAGTCTCAAAAAGATAATGTCAAAATGAAAGCTATAAAAACACATTTTCCAACACGTGCTGACATTTGCTTTAATGTCACAGGATCACGTTAAGTTGGTCTGAACCAAATTCTCAGAAACTAAAAGCACATCATGTGTATTTATAGAGCAAGACAACCAAACGACATCACCCCTCCATCATCTCAGTGCAACATTACTGTTTCACACCTTATGGCGGGGATCATAGAAACACTTTCAGTGGAGTGAACAGATGATTCCCTTTCATACACGCTCAGTTCTCAAAAAAATCTTCCACATGAAAATGCAAAACACACTGTTAAGGCTGTCATGAGCATGCCAAGTCAACAACAACGTCCTTGACATGCTAAAATGTTCTCGCCATTCCTCTGCAATGACCATTTCATTTACAAAATTGACCATTCAGGCTGCCGCCATCGTGAAATTTGAAGCTGTTAAGAAATCAGAAATCTAGCAGTAGATCTGGCATATCTGCCGTTTTCTGCTAACAGTTTAACACATGGCTTCACTTATTCTGTGCACTCTGGACAGTTAAAGCTCTGACAAGCAAAGAGTTGATTCAGATTTCTGTCTTTTCAAAAATTGACGCAGACAGTGTGCTCTGTATTATTTATTGTACGAAATGAAAAGATTTCAGATTTCTCAAGCAATGCCCAAATGGCAGACTGCAGAATGAAACGTGTTTGAACTGGTTGATAAGAGAGGCTCAGATGGTAGAGTCGGTCGTCTCTTAACCGGAAGGTTGAGAGTTTGTTACCCAGCTCCTGCAGCCACATGTCTGATGTGTCCGTGGGCAAGACACTTAACCCCAAATTACTCCTGTTGTTTCTGGGCATATGAATGTGTATGAATGTGATAAGTTACTTCTGATGGTTACTTTACTTATCAACCTCTACCATCAGTGTGTGAATGTGAAGGTGTGACCTGCGCTGTAAAGCTTTGTGTTGTCAGAAGACTAGCAAAGCGCTTTATAAGCTCAAATCCATTTACCATTTATCATTGATACACTGTGAATAATGTGATCAGAATTTATGCAAATATTCAATTAGAGTAAGTTTAACAAAAAAGACAGGTTTATTTTATTGAATTAAAGGTGTATATATATTTGTAATTATTTTGGACAACAAACATCCTGTGATGATTTTTTTAAGTAAATCCTAAAGCTTTAGATGAGCTACATTTCTTGTCTTTGTCCCAGCTCTTAAATAATGAAATCATGCTGAGGTCAGATTCAGTGATGTGGTCAAAACTGATATCAGAAACGTATAAATGACACGTCTGTTTTTGTGTTTTCTGGCACATTTTACTAATTTAATACAATCAGTATTATCATTATCTTCATCAGCTGTCTCATGATGATCGAGTGTTTCTAAATTAATATTCATATCAGAAAAAAAGTCTGTTGAATTCTCTCAGGGCCCGTCTGAAAATTTGATCATTGGATTCAATGTTTTCACCATCCCACCCTGAAAGTGGGCACTTTAATGAAAGACTTAATACAACAATCATGTTCTGTTTAAATGAAAAGTAGGTCTGGTTGAAAGGCCTTCTTTATTTGTGCTAAATACACCCCAAAGTGTGTGTGTGAAGCACTCAGCTCGAGTCATTAGATTAAAGAGGGGTTGTATGTGCTGCCCTGTATTACCATAGAAGAGGCTGCTGTGTTTGTGTGGAGTGTCTGGGGATTGCATTGAAGTGCATGACGGCCACGTTTACCGTGCTGCAGCGGCGCACACTGAAGTGCATAATGGGAATTGTTGTGTGTCTTTTGTGTTGTGCTGAAGGGGCTTGTTAAAGCTGTCTTTGCTTTTTACTCAGGCACATTTCTGTCTGTCTGTTATGTTTGAGAGGTGTTAAATCATTTTCTTAAATGACCTGACATGTTTAAATCCATTTTTATTTAGCTGATGTTTCTACCTTTATTTGCAAAGGTGATTGTACTTAAAGAGATTCTGCTTCACAGTCACAGTCATGTACATGTAGGCTTGATATATGTGAACATTTTGTGAATGGTAAGAAAAACGCACTTTGGACACGTTCTTTCGTCTGTCTTTTCCTTAATGCTCTCTGGACGGCGCTATCTCGCCCCTCCAAAGAGAACCAAGAGATACTCAAACTCTTTTATCCCTTCAGCTGTCAGGCTGTTGAATTCTTTACATTTTTAATTGATTTACTGTATGGACTTTTATACATTTAGGTAACCTGTAAGGCGTTGTATTCATGAATTTCTAGATATACCTGGCTTTTCATTTAGCCACCTGTTCGTCTGTTGTTACTGGCATGTGAATGTAATTGTCTGAATGCTGCTGGGACTTTTGTTTCCTTTATATTGTCTTGGCTTCTTTGACTCAGTTGGCTGTGAAACTGAATTGCCTTTCTGGGATTAATAAAATCGTCTTAATCTGGAGTTATTGGCTCAGGTGAACCCTGCAGTTCCTCTTGTTTTAGCTGAAATTCACAGTTTTTCATGTGTTTAATTTTATTTAAATTTCATGCAGACAAGCCTCTCCTTGTGCACTCTGCTGTAATGTGTATTATTTCCTCATCTATCGTGTTCTACTTGTCAGTGTTTGTGTCAGATCTGAAATAATTAATATTCTCTTTTGAAATCCTTTTCTAGAGCACAGATGTCAATTCTGTTCAGAGAAAGTGTTGCTTTCTGTGTGAGCAGATAATGACAGCATTTTAATGCACAGTTGGGTCTTGTTTTCCAGTGGTTAGCCCAGCAGGAGAGCATCTGGAGAGCAAATGACATTTGTGTTTGATGTTTGAGATGTTTACCTGTAAGGTGACAGGTTATTATATCCGGTACATGGAGAGTAAATGGAGTTCTGTTCTGCATGTTTAGATTTCAATAGTTGTTTTGTTGTGGAGCAGAATTTCATGGCTGAAAATGCCAGGGAAGCTCTTCACAGATATTTTGACTACCTGCTTCCTTTTATTTTTCTCACATGTCTTATTATTATATATTTTTTAAATAAATCATGTCACCTCCAGTAGTGAAAGACTAGAATATCAAACAGAAGTACTACTCTGATATAAAAGTCAGGCAGATGTAGAACATCTCAACATTTATACTGCAAAGCCCTTAAAAACTGAATTCTTCTGCATTATATTTTCGTGGTTTTCACTCTTACTAGACTCTAAATATTGTATATTTCAATGACTATGATCCATGCAGCAAATGGTGTACATTTACAAAGTGATGTATCTCTCTGTAGTGTATATAAAGTATGGATTGTATGTCAATGAAGCATATAGCTGCCTGTAAATGTAATTATTTATAAATAACGTCCCCTCATCTGAAATCAATCTATGCACAGTTTTAATGTAAATAGTGTAAAACTATCTACCTTATGTCAATTATAGAGACTAGATGACTAGAATTAAATTCACTGTATGTGTACTCATACCTGGCCAATAAAGCTGATTCTGATTCTAAACTATTTTCTCTCTCTTCCTCTCTCCCTCTCTCCCTCTCTTTCTGTCTGACAGGTTACTATGGGAGAGGCTGCACCGATGCTTGTCATCTGAACCCATGTGAAAACGAGGCTCAGTGCCACAGGAAGCCCAGCTCCTCCCATGGATACATCTGTGACTGTGGCGACAACCACTACGGACAGTACTGCCAGCACAGGTACAGCTACACGCTGAACACACACAATCTGCTCAGCAGTGCACCTGAGAGAAGCTAACAATGTCTAAAGCTCTTTGATGCTGTTTGTTGCACAGCTAAGCTGCGTCCAAGCGTATGTTTGAGAGTGTGTGTTAAGTGTGTTTGTTGGTAGCTTTAGTTCTGCCTTGTTGCCCCACATCTCCAGCCTTGCATGTAATCCACAGTGGGATGAGTGTAGACTTAACGTAATAACACACACACACACACACACACACACACACACACACACACACACACACATGGAGGTTATCTGTGTGTGTTAAACTCTGAGAAGAGAGCATGACCCTGACCTAACCCCCCTCTCTGCTCTCCTTCCTGCCTGTGAAATCCACACCGCTTTAAATTAATGTCATCATGATCTTTTACTCGTTTACTCTCTTTTAATTTCCCCAGATATGTTTCTTCTGTCTGCCTTCTTCTGTCACTTAACCGCTTTTATCCTAAATAGAAATGTCAAATGTGAAATTTGGCACATTTATCAAAATGTTTGATGGATAACATATCTATTGATTATGGGTTATTCAATTTAAAGTAAAATAATATTTCTACTTCTCAAATGTGATGATTTATTAAAGTAAACATAATCCCAGTTAAAGGCAGATTCATCTTATAAACAAAGGTGATGCATAAATGTGTAATAAATGAACAGGATGAGGTTTTCTTTTATTCCACCTCTATTTGGTGTTTTGTGGTGAAACAGCTTATTTTAAAGAGTCCCATCACTTGTTGAAGGTTCACTTCTCCCCCCTTGTCAGGATCAGACAGAACATTTTTTTGTCTCTTCTTTTCAGCCCTATAAGCAGCAGATAATACACAGCAGGCAGTGAAGCTTCCTAATGAAAGTAAATTCTGTCATGAGATGTAATAAAAAACCTCTGGAGTTGATCCTAATATTCTATAAAGAGCACTGATATCTGACTTCTGTCTGCTAAACTTCCCGTGAGGAGCAATAAAGAGATGCACACGAGAATCAGCATTAGCCTAGCTGAGCAGTTATCTCCTCAGTGATCCATTAGACGCAGAGAACAGAGGAAGCGCACATTAATTGAAAAAGAGAATGAAAGAGCAAAGTGTTGAATAAACCAGAGTGATCAAATCTGAGGCTTATTTTGAGTAGAAATTCTGAGTAGAAATTCTGTTGTTTTAGAAGAAACTGTCTAAATGCTGCATACATTTTAATGAATGAATAGTTACAAGATGTTTAAAGGAGCGGAGGAGCTCCTTCGAAGAAAATAGCCCACTGTGTGAACAACGGGAAAATAGTGTTATTGATGATTTCAATTTTTTTATATGCATCTTCAGGGTAAATAATAAAAGGCTTCAGGATTGTGTTATTGTATACATGTCAACTACTGTTGTTGGACTTTAATGACTCAGCACATTCTAAAGTGTTTGCTAAACTGGATATTATTTCAACACCTTTGTAATGAGATCTTAAACTCTCTCACCCCTTTTTCTCTGGTCCGTCCCTACTTTCATATTTCTCTCAGTTTGATCCCTCTCGAGTTGATTTTTCCCCCACTCTCATTGTTTTTTAAGCATTTGTTCTTAAGAAAAATAACTTTTACAAGTTTTAGTCTTGGTCTGTTGCTCTGTCGCCTGCTTTCCTTTCCCCACCCTTAACGACTATTGCTATGTTTCTGTGTAGAATTGATCACCAGTGTCCCAGGGGTTGGTGGGGATCTCCGACCTGTGGGCCGTGCCACTGTGACACTAATAAAGGCTTCGACCCCAACTGTAATAAAACCAACGGACACTGTCACTGCAAGGTAACCAGGAAACACACAAACATGCGGTTCAACTTTCAGGCATTTGTGTTTGGAACGCTAATTCTTATACAACTTCCCAAAGAGTCTGAAGATAGGATGACAGAAATTACAAGACTTTGTGTATACTGTATGTTCATTCTTATTTCCCCCAATCTGACAATTATAAAAATAAAACAAGCTCTAAATAAACAACAGCACAATATAAAAACACAGACTTGTCGAAGGTGCATAGTTGTATGCTCCATTCATAAACAGATCTGTCGCTGTGACAAATATACTCTTGTAGAAGAAAGAAAGATTAATGCCTCAGTGGTAAAAATGTGATCAAGGCTAATTGAAACAGAAATTATTATTAATAATAGTACAGAGCCTGTTTTATGAGGCTGCAGAATCAAAAGGTTATTTTTTATTTATTAGTAAGTAGTATTTGTCTTGTAACTGAACTGTAAATCTGTTAAAATGTGACTCAGTTACTCTTACATTGTCACATTGAGTCGTCTAATATCAGAAGGATCAGAAGGACATTAAGGGTGTAACTCCATAGATCCCTTTGGCTGTAGTTTAACCCAGAATCCCAGTAATCATCTGACCCTGTGATGGTCTGATGGGCTAAGCTGGATGTGTCTTTAATCTGAATCTTTAATCTCTGATATCGCCCTTGAACAAAGCACTTAACCACATGTTTCCCTGCGACCTTTGGCTTCTTGTTCTTTATTTTCCCCAAAAAAATGAGGCTTAAAATAAAAGATAAGTAGATAACGTTCTGGTCTCGGCTGGCTCACACAAACTGAGAAAGATAACAATAAGATAAATATTATATAATATACTGAGGATAAAAATCATCCACACTGCAAAGAGAACAAAAAAAAAAAAAGTTTGACGTTGCAAATTAAACCTTCAAAGATTCACAACTGGCAGTAGTGACATGATGACAAATTGCACAACCCCCATCATCCTACTTTATCTGCTGTTGAGAATCTTAATGGACAAGGCGCTAATTATGTTTATAGGAGTTCAGCTCGCTCTGAGGGACCATAAATCTTCTACGTGTTACCATCAACAGCTCCCAGTAATATCACGGTATATATTTTAAGGAGGCTTTCTCCATGGTGAGGAATTTAAAAAATCACAGCTAGTAGTCATACCATTTTATGACTTCATCCATTTATTCTGCAAGAATTACATTTTGCTATTCTGTTAAAGAGATTCTCCTTTAACCTCTGAGTGCATTAATAATCAGCAGTTAAAATACCTAAAACTAAATGAAACCTTACCTAACAACCAAATGAAGAACATCTTTCTCTTTCAAAGTCTGTTTTCTTTCATTCTTTCAAAAGTGTAAATTCTTGACACAGCTTTGACTTTCACAAATTGCAAACAAACTACTGTTAATACATAATTTACTACAGTGAAGCTGAAACATCTAAGATAAGCAAAACACCCAACAGAGTGGAGTGGGACTTTAAAGAATGAAAGTGGTGCTGCTTCATGTGGTTAGATATATAATCTCATACAGGTTAAACAAACTACTTCACTTCTTTCCTCACACATAGTCTGTGGGTTGTTTCTCTTACGACAGTTGTGTCCTCTTTTTGTTTCATTGTATTACTCTTACTCTTGAGTACATGGTGATGTAATCACTGACTCTATTTTTATTTTTAGCATGGGGACATTTTACATTCCTCTGACTGTGTTTGATCAGTGACTGCTTATGCATACCTCGTTAATGTGTGTGTGTGTGTGTGTGTGTGTGTGTGTGTGTGTGTGTGTGTGTATGTGTATCCAGGAGTTTCACTACCATCCACGGGGCTCTGACACCTGTCTGCCATGTGACTGCTACCCGGTGGGTTCCTTCTCGCGCTCATGTGACCCAGAGACAGGCCAGTGCCAGTGTAGGCCAGGTGTGATTGGTCGCCAGTGCAACGCGTGTGACAACCCCTTTGCTGAGGTCACAAATTCAGGCTGTGAAGGTGAGAATGCCTTTTTGTTTTTTAAAATGTAATATATTGTTTTCCTTTAAAATTCTCTCTTATTTATTGATCAGGGTGCTTCATCTTTTATTAAGTAATTTGTCTTTGTGCTCATCTTCACGTCTCACACACACACACACACACTGCAGATTTGATTTCACTGCTGGAATGAAATTTCCCCGACAATAAAAGTACCTTGCCTCACAGGAGGCACCAAGATAATGTGTCAAAACATGTTTTTTTTTTCATGTTTGAATAAACAGCTACTCTATTGTCATGGTTAAAAATGTGTCACTATCTTAAATCTCTTTTGTGGTGTGTTGACAAAAACTGTCTGCTTCATCTACATTCAATATTAAAGCTTTGTCTGTCCTGTTCTCCAGCAAAGAGAAAAATCATCCAAATGGTTCCATATTTTCTTTAGTTTTGTTTTCTGTAGCTTGTGTAACTTGTCAGGTGGGACAGAAAACAGTGTCCAGTGTGATTTTAAATGCAATTGTCAAGTTGGATTTAAAAGCAGTGTTCAGACTGTGAATTATAAACTGAGACAAACAGGCATGATCGGAAAAGATGAGTCACTGCCAAGCTTTTAGCATTTTTAATCATAACTGTGTAATTATAGGATTTCATTTTCCACTGTAATCTTTTCTTTTCTTTCACACTAGAAGACATGGTTGATTGTATTCTTCTTCTATTTAACATTTTCTCTCTTTATCAGCTTTGTTTTCTTCTCTGTTCAGAAAAGTCACTTTGCAGGTTCCCTATTCTAATTACTTCCTTTAATTTGTAGCTGAGTTCATATTCTCTCACAATGTGTGACTTTTTGTTTTGTTTTTTAATTAAAAAGTTCAATGAGCAGATAAGTCTGATTTTTAAATAATGTGTTTTGTTCTCTGCAGTCATCTATGATGGATGTCCAAAGACCATCACTCAGGGGATCTGGTGGCCCAGGACCAAGTTTAACCTCCCTGCTGCAGTGCCCTGCCCCAAAGGCTCTGTCGGTCTGTACAGGACATTCAAACACAAAGATACTAATGTACAATCGATGGCAGTTTTGAACATTAGTTCATTTTTATTTGCCATGTTCTCTCCTCGTTACAGGCGCAGCCATCAGACACTGCGATGTAGAGAGAGGATGGCTGGAGCCAGACCTTTACAACTGTACCTCACCTCCATTTGTGGAGCTCAATGCTGCTGTATGTATTCCACTTACATCATTAAGGGCACGGTCACACTGGCCATCCGTACCGTGCCCAAGCACGCTTCAACGCTAAAGTCCAGTTCGTTTGACCAGTGTGACCGCTCCATATCGTGCTCAGAGAGGTGTGCTTCGGCATGGTACACTTCATGCACGAGCACAAGCACGCGGGTACACACCGCTGACAGCCTTCATTAAGGAGAAATCCAGAGGTTCTGACTAAAATGACTCAATATAAGACACAAAGTAGCTGTCATATTCTCTGTGTTGTTCTCTGATGTGCGCGGACTCACGCACGGACTCGCGCGCGGAAGGTTGAGGACGCGGGGGTCTTGTAGTAAACTTTTGCTTGAAGATATAAAATAATAACATGAAGATGCTTAATATGATTACATGTATGTGTCGGGTATAATGCAAACCTTGCTGCATACAGAAAATGTTGTATAATATTTCAGTAATTCTTGAATAAATGTTTAGATTACTTTTTCATATTTTGTTGCTCTCTGTGTGTCTAGCTTGATTCTCTGGAGCGTAATGAAACGGAGCTGAACACGATCATGGAGAAGAAACTTGCACACCAGCTCCGTGATGTCACTGAGGCTACTTCTCGACTCTATGGCAATGACCTGCAGATCGCCGAACGACTGCTTTCCCGCCTGCTGACCTTTGAGACCCAGCAGAGTGGCTTTGGACTAACCGCTACTCAGGATGCACATTTCAACGAGGTAAAGGAAGAACACACCATTTTCTATTTCTGGCCTCCTTTTTTAGGCCAAAGTTACAATCTGTTATTCAGTTGTTTATACATTTCAGTCAAATGGTGGAGACATATTTGCTTTTTATCAGTGGTGCTTGTTGGAAGTTAAGAGTTACCTTTCTTATTACATAAGGAAAGCCCTGACAAGATTTCACAAGGAAATTCTTTTTTATTTTCAACTTGCACAACAAGCAGGACCTGATGTGCAAGGAAGAGGTTAAAACTTGTTTAATTAGTTGTTGCATTGATGTAATGATGTTTTTAAAGGGTCAGCATATCACACTAAAAACAAAAATATTGGTAAGGTACTTTTGAAAGATATAAAAAAAAATGGTGGCATGTTGTTAAATAGACTTTAGGCTGTATAGCGACATGTGAAGCCTATAATTAGTTGGTGCTGAATTCATAGTTCTTCAACAGCTCTTCAACAGTCTTAATTGGAAATGTCAACCAAGAGAAATATGAATAACAAGCTGATCAACATGATGAAATTGTATCTCCAACGGTGATAGAAAATGTCAGTTTTAAGGTTAAATATTCTGCCATAACATAAAGATGTTAGCATGTATGGCTATAGAAAAGATAAGGAAAGAACTGCAACCACACACTATATAACAGATTGTAAAAAAGACTTTGACAATCTACCAGGTGACTGAAGATGCTGCTGTTATTTAGAGCAGTAGACATGAATGATAGACTGTTCATTTATAGGCTAGAGGCCCAGTTAATAGATATTACAACTAGATGCATTTTTTTCTGAAAAGGGAGGTTATGTTGCTATGGCAATGCAGCCATGGTAGGTTGTGAAATATTGCCACTTGTCATCTTCTTGTATTAACTGACGGAGAGAAATATTACCTGACACGACTGAATCAGCTGAGGATGCAGGGGCTGACAGGATAGAAAAGAGCTGGGATCATTTAAGCATGTTTGCATTTTGACATAAAGGTTCTAAGAGACATCTTCACATGTTACTTTGGAAATTTAGGTGACAGGAAATGTCTTGTAGATACAGTTAACAAATGACATGTCACTATAGAAACAGTGATGGTAATGTGACACCCTGACACCCTGCCTGCTGACAATACTGCATATATATCTTCATTTACAAACAGAAATGTAATATTAAACTAATTTATTCCAACTTGTTTCAGTATTTATAACCAGTAGTAGTATTATTATAAGAATGAGATTTATGTCACTTAGAGGTGAGAAATGGCATTTAGTGCTCACATTTTTTCCACAGTTGCTAAAGGGATACATTTAATATTTTTTGCTAACAGGGAAGATTGTATGTTTATACATTTTTGTTTCACTTTTGGAGTAAGAACTTGGGCTGGGTTAAAACGTGTATGTGTGGTTGTCACATTTTGTCTTCTGTGTATCATTTTCATTCAGTTTAAGTTAAAATTGTGACAAATAAATAAAATAACATTAAATTCACTCACATTTAACCCATTTAAGAAACGCCTGTTACACCAGCTGAATTCCCAATCACACAATGTGGCTCCAGTTAGTGTATGACACATTAAACAAAAAATAGAGATTTAACCAGGTAATAACCCCATTGAGATCAAGATCTTTCCCAAGGGTGACCTGTCCAAGAGGGCAGCAGCACACGTCATAAAAATATTACATGATTAAGAAACAGTTTACAAACAATAAATTAAGAGAAAACAACAATTACAATGTGCAAATTGGTTTACAGATAAGATGCAGAGTCGTGATGACAGATTACAATTCAAAAACACAGACACTGTCCAATTGTCTCACGTTTTTTGTCTTTTGTATTGTTTTATGATGTCCATCTTTTTACACCCAGCCTCTGTTAGACGCTGACTCGTTTAATTAGATTGAATTCATCACCCATGTTAAACAAGTCATTGTTCAGTAATAACTCATAATTTTACAAGATATCTTGAATGAACATGAACAATTAGTTTGGTCAGTCAAAATGATCAAAGGCACCAAATACAGTACATAGCTTTGTGGCATCAATACATCATTTTTTTCTATCAAAAGGACAGTTTCTATAGAAACCCAGCAGTAGCATTAATGACATCCTACAGTGAGTAAAATGAAGACCTTTCCTGCATGGCATTTCACTGAATTACTTCATCTGACAGCAAACAAGAAATATTGCTCTTATGGTGTGACAGGTGGTTGGCTGCTTTACAGCCATGATATCTGATAGCAGAATAAGTATTTGTATTGTCATCTGCTGGTTTCTGAACAAATAACCTCCACTTGTGTGTCATCTCTGATGTGACCTCGACCTCTGACTCTGATACAGTCGTGCCGCCCACCTCTCATCATCTCCAGTTAATAATCTATCCTCAGCCCCTTTATTTTCTCAACTATGGAAATGATAATATAATATATCTGATAATACTTGACACCTGACTTCAAACATCGGTTATTAGGCCTGGCTAACAGGTAATGTAGAACACTGTTACTATAGTAACCACGCAGCATTAACAGAGCCCCGTGGCTGCAGGAGAGACAAAGGAAGGCAGGGAGGAAAGTGCTTTTACATCACTAATGTAGCGATGAATAGAGAAAGAGGAAACCTTCTCGTGTTCATGCTGGGATCCAATCTATGTAGCTACTACTGTACCTCCAGACCTGTCTCCTTAAGCACAAAGCACAGATGTGTTTTTAAGAGGGATCACATAGTTTACTTTCTGTACTGCACAGTGGTTTTGGTTATGTGATGATTTCTCAAACTGGTCATCAAAAACATGAACAAAGGTTTGATGATGATGATTATAGAAACTAGCATGTGATGTGATAGGATATTTTGAGTAGTTGTGATGTGACAACATGTTGCTGTTTGACTTGCACATTTAATTTGTTTGTTGAACTGATTGGCTGGATTTATGCTCCAACCTGTCATCTGCGCTGTTTCTTCTTTCTCGTCTTTTTAAGTCTCCTCACGTTTTTCTTTGTTGGTCTCTGCTGTGTTTCACCCTCTTTCTTTTCATTTAATAAACACATGCAGAATGAGCTCCTGTGGTGTACAGGCCGCTCTGCAGACAAATGGTCACCTTCACATTTTTTATGGAGAAATATTAATATAAGGTATCTGAGTGACTGACTTCCTTTCAACAAAACCACAATGTCTTAGGAAGATGTAAAAGCAAACTAGACTTATGTTAAATATGCTTTTTCAAACTCACAGGCAGCATAGATTAATAGTTAAAAGTGGTGTTCGTTGCTTTCATCAATCTGCAACTCTTCACACAGTGTATCTGCATCAACAGGTGACACAACCAGGACATGTTGTCGTGAAAAATGTGGTGCAAATAAATGTAAATAGATATACTATTTTTAATTTAACAGAATGTTAAATAATGTAAAGACAAATTATCAACAAATCTGTGCAGGCTTTGATTTGAGTCTCAAAGTGTGTGAATGTTGTGATGGCATCACATCATCCATTTCATACCCACCTCAATTATTCATCTTATCACTCCTCTTGTTATTTTTTTGTCTTAACCTTTTTTTTCTGCTGTTTCTTGTATCTCTGAGCCGAACATACGCTTCTCCTATAGCTTCTTTTCTTCCTCATTCTCTTTCATTTCATATCGCCTGGCAACTTACATATCCACAATTCCCGTTTCTGATCCTCACTTCCTGTCCCTGTACAATTCACTACTTTCTTTCTATACCACACTCTTAAGTCCTTTTCTTGTTTGTCTGAAAAATTTCTTGTTTATTTCTTCTCTCCAGAGCATTATGAGGTATTGCAGAGGTTTATTGGTTTTGGTGCAGTCAGACTGCTAGGAATTATATTGTGCACTTTTACTCCCTCTCTCTCAAACCCTCTTCTTTCTCTCTCTGACATTCTCCTTTTTTTGTTCATAACATTTTGCAAGGCTGTTCATTTGTGACTATCTAGGCTATCAGACCTCCATCCAGAGTCAAACGAGTTTAAATAAGGGCACTGGTCACATCAGAGTGGTTAGACTTGCTATAATTGGGGTCAAAACTTGTTCGGATGTTTTTATCTCTGGCGTGGTTCTGGTCATTATAGCTTGACAAAAGGCTTTACAATGAGGAAAAAAATCAGATTTCTTCTCTCCTTGACCCGCAGCCTTAGACTTTGTTTCCCACACAAGGACAATACTTGAACGGACTGGCCAGATATATTTAAGGTTGCCCAAGTATATTTCCTGACATTTTATTGGTTTAATCCATAAATTCAGAGAGGGCGAGCGAGATGCAAACCTGAGCGAGAAAGCGAGAGAGAGAGAAAAAGAGAACGTGAGAAGGCTGTAGGTCCTTCCCATATGTCCCTCTTGTATGTCCCTCCCTTAAATGCAACAATTTTGCTGCTAGTGCGTCTCATTTTAAAACAGTAGCTTCTTATGCTGTTTAATCGTTTCCTGCTGCTGCGATGATCATTGTGATGCACGTCATACGCTTCATCATCAGTAGGCAAAGCGTGGATCCCCTGATGTGATACCTGAATATTGAGTGAAACATCTCAAAATGCGAGTATTGTACTATTGTCAAAACACACAATAAACAAAGCTACAGAATGAGGCAAGGTGGGACAAGCTGCTGTGTATGTGAGCGTGTGGGAGGATGAAGGAGAGAGGAGAGGAGCAGGTGTGTGTGGTGCGTGCGTGTGTGTGGGTGGGTGGGTGTGTGCATAAGAGAATAGAAGGGGAATGGCTAATATGAGCAGATTTTGCCGTTCGTGCAACTGAAATAAATTAGATTATAAAGCACATTGAATATATATACAGACCTAATATTAACATATAACCTTAACTAGTAGAAAAGGTTACTTCTGCATACTTTGAGCATTTTATGGGGTCGCAGTACCTTATGAGTAGTTCAATCAGGAGAGACTTAATTGAGAATGAACAATTATTTATTTACAATAAATGTGCAACAATTAATTTGGAATGTGCAAAGTCTTTGGGGGATTAGACTCCATCGTGACGACTTCAGGCTCGGAAGGTAATGAAGCCGACAGCAGGTTAGGAGACCCCCCTATGGAGTCTAGACACTGGTGGTGGTGAAGAGGAATGGGAGCTGCGATGAGGGATTGGTATCCGAGCCTGATCTGGACTCTGCTGAGCTGGAATGGAGGTGACCGGGGCGGTGGTGGGTTACAGCGGTTGCCTGAAAAGACAGAAGGGCTGCGGAAGAGAGAGAGTTGTTTTAGCCTTTTTGCTGCTGCAGAATGATTGGATGGGAGAGGTTGTGCCCACATCTGATTGGTTGATCACTGGAAGAAAAAACGCCCATAAACAGCTGATCACCAGAGAAGGGAGACAGAGGAAGTAGTAGGGGGAGTGGTTTAGGTTGAAGTGAAAGGATGAATGAATGAGTGAAAGAATATAACCAGTCTTCCTGTCTGAACTTACGCTGAGCTCCATTTCTACTCTTTTAAATTACCTCACCTTTTTGATATGAGCAAAAAGTCACAACCTAACCACTAACCTGATAATACTTGCTTTCTCCATGTCTGAGCCTGACTCCTCTTCCTCAATCAGTCTTTAAAGAGAAACATTTTAAGCAAACAATGGAGGGTTTTTTTTTATTGTGAAAACTTGGATAGTTTGGGTACTTTTTTACTTCTTTATCTCTTTCCCCTCTCTTAGATCATAGGTCTTACACACATAAGTGTTACTCTTTCTGACTTGAACATTGTATTTTTGCCTCAATAACACAGGCTTACCAAACTCCTCAGAAACTGTAATTATATCGTGTTTTATCATGTTTGCTTATTTACATGTTTGCTGATCTCCTGCTTCTTCCAGAACATTGTCCGAGGTTGCAGTGTGCTGTTGGGTCCTGGTACCTCTGGGCTTTGGCGGGCTATCGCTCAAAGTCAGAACCACCTAGGCGGGGGTCCGGCTGTGTTGACGGAGCTGCTGGAGCAGTACGCCCAGAATGTAGCCCAGAACATGAAGCTCACCTACCTCAACCCTGTGGCGCTGGTTGCTCCAAACATAGGTGAGTTCAGAATGACTGCACACACACACACACACACACACACACACACACACACACGCACACACACACACACACACACACACACACACACACACCACACACACTCACTGAGTCACAGACAGTCAGACATGATACAAACAATAATCCCTAGTCAGACGCAATAAAAGAGAATAGGACATTAATAAACTCGTAATCTTTACACACGATTTGCAGCGCTTTTCCCATAATGCTGTAAATCACTGCTGTGAAATCAGCTAGAATGACTCATTGTAAAGCGGGAGATGAAAAGCGCTAATGCAAATGATGATGAGAGAGCTGGCAGCAGCATTCCAAATTTCACACTCTCGCATCCACACACACACACACACACACACACACACACACACACACACACACACACACACACACACACACACACACACACACACACATACTTTGCAGCTAATGCTTTGAGTACATGCACAAAACGCCTTCAGCACTGTAGCACTAGCCAGCATACATCATTTAGATTTGCCGGTGCCAAATCCTATCAAGATCACACACACAGTGACACAAACACACACACACTTGAACATGTACATGCCTAAAACACACACAAACACTGACTGACTGAAGTTTATAGTTACACTCTTATAAAAGACTTGTAATATGTATCATTTTAAATAAACAGAGAGCATAACTATCTTTGCTGTCACACACAAACAAACAAACAAACACACACTCTGCTCACACAGATTTACTTTATACATTGGCAGGTTTGGCCCTCTGCCCTGTGTCATTTGGTTTCTGGCATAATTTCTCTTGTAAATACCGGTATATGCTTTTTAATTTTTTTCTTCACTACAGCAGTGTTTAAAATACTGTTCATTTTTTTGGACCACTGGCAACAACCAGAGTTGAGCAGCAGCTCTACAGCGATGAAGCTAGACTTTGACGTTCACAATCAGATAATGCTCTTACCTACCTACACAGATTAAATTCATATACAATACCACACACCCAAAACATAAAAATAATCAATAACCAATCACTGAGGCCTCACAAGCCTATTCCACTGTGATCCAGTAACTGACTTGAAAAACCACAGGCTCGCTTGCAAAGCATTGGCTGCTATTTTCTATAACTCATTTCTATATAATACAGCCAACATTCTGTTAAATAACCTTTAACTGGGCCTGATGCAGATTCCCAGATGGAGAACTTAGTAGGAGCAGCAATAAAGGCAGTAGGAATAAGAAGTATAGCCAATGCTGAATTTCTCACTCCTACACATTAAAACAGACAGTTGGGATAGTGTCAATAATCAGGGAAAGGATATAGATGAGCCTGACACACACCCATCTGTTAGCTTCACATAAATGAGTTCCTTTTAAGATGTTTTGTGGTTGTTGTTGTTATTTGAATGCCAAATCTCCATTTTTGTCCGTACTAATGGACCATTTGTTTAGCTTTAAAAATGGTCATTACAGACTTTAAAATCAGAAAACAGATTCATATTCTCCACATACAGACCGGCACACACCCACACACACACACACACACACACACACACACACACACATTACATATGTCTTTTGTAGTCACAGTGAGAGATTTCTCTCATCTCTTTGTATTGAATGTGGTTCCTCGTCTGTTTGCTGGATAAAGTGTTCACTTGTTTAAGGACCCTCCATATTGACCGTGTACCTCTTGTTGGTCACCTCATTTCCCATAATTCAACAGTTCCTCTGGCTCTGTGTCTGTGTGTATGTGTTTATTGATTCTGTACTGACTCCCAAATCCACAGGGAATAAAGTGGTGTATTGACAGAGGCAGTTCAGGTGTGACCCTACATTGCTTGTGAAAATGAAAATGAGTTCTGAATATGAGATGTCATAATTCTAATAACACAATTTTGAGTAAAATTTTGCTCATTGGAAATCTTCAATGTTGTGTAGACTGCTTTGTTGCTTAAAACAATGTACAGTAAACAGATGTTTATGAATGGTTATGGTATATGGTATTTTGATGTAGCTTTCAAATTTGCTGGTCAGCAGGTCAGCAGGTTTTGCATCAAGGCTTATTTAACCCTTTATTTTTGAGAGATTAGAATGAATAGTATTTCACGCAGGGTGTATATAAATCATGTTTATTAGTTTACAGCTTGCCCAACGTCAGTAAGTCAGTTAGTACTGATAGTTAGTGATTTTCCACATATGGTTTTTATAGCCTGATGTGCAACATGAAAAGTAATGAAAGAGAGACTTGAGTCGATAAAGACATCAGTGTTCATGTCTCCTTTTTTTCTGCTTTTTTCTTCATCAGTCATGAATCTAGACCGTATCGAGAACCAAACTCATGTGAGGCGCCGTTTCCCACGTTACCACACTAGCCTGTTTCGCGGTCAAGCTCCGTGGGACCCTTACACCCATGTGATACTGCCCCCTGCTGCCCTGGTGCCACAGCGACAACAACAACAACACAACTGGAAGGAGAAGGAGCGGACAGAGAAAGAGCGTAAGAAACAGACGTTAAGAATGTAAGTGGCTGAAATTAAGAGAAGATACTCACACAGACTTCTCCATTTCAGCTTCAACCCCACAGAACGCTGGTTCAGCCCCCGTCAGCATCTCAGCCAATCAGACGGGAGAGTACACTGCAGCCAGACGGGCAGTTTCTATGCCTGAACCGCCCATCACCATCGTAATCATGTTGGTCTATCGCAGTCTGGGCGCCGCCCTCCCTCCCAAGTACCACACAGACAGACGAGGAGTGAGGTAGGAATCAATCACTCTCTGAACAATGGAAATCAGATTATAGCACATCTGGATCCTTAAAGAGAGGGAACATATTGGATTTACAAATCTGGATTACCCATTGCGTTTTTTTTTGTGTTAAACAGAAAACCTTAAAATCCCTGTTATATAATTCATTTTGTCTGCAGATAAAACAAAATGTTCAAGACATTTTAAAGTGGGTTGCAGTTGAATCTGCAACCTGCCAGAGTTTAACACAGACATGATACCAGATGCCATTAATCATTTAGTCATTTAACATGATAAGAATGAAAAAAACAGGAGAACACCAAGGGCATCTTTAAATTGCTTATTTTGTGTGTCCAAACTACAAAGGTTTGTATTAACGGTGCTGTGAAACACGCAAAGAAGCAGGACATCCATATACTTGAGAATATGGGATTAAAAATTAGTGTTGTTTTAGTATGATAGATGTTGTGTGTTTTTATATACTCAAAATTGTATTCAATTTATTTTTTGGGAACTTAACCAACATGTTAATTGAGTTTTTGATTCAACACTTATCACCTACCTGACGTCCATGTTCAGTAGGTTTCAATGAAAAGTCATTTAAATTCCTTCCAATCTCTTTCTCATTCCTGTCTACTTGCTTGTCTTAGCCTTTTTCCATCATCCTCACCAGGATATCAAACTCTGCCTTCGATCTCATCTATCATATATATGTTAACCCTGCGCTCTCTCCTTCAGGCTTCCCAGACACCCGGTAATGAACTCCCCGGTTGTCAGTATTTCTGTCTACAACAACCAGACGTTTGTGGCTGGACACTTGGACCAGCCCATTCTGCTTGAGTTCAAGCTGCTGGAGACGGCAAACCGCAGCAAGCCCCTGTGTGTGCAGTGGAACCACAGCAACCAGTGAGTGCAGATTACACTGAACACTTGTGAATATATTCCTTGATACACAATGTGAGTTTTCTGTTAGAACTGTGAAAACCTCAGCTTTGTCGGGACATAAATCATTAAGGGAAATTACAGGAAAGTGACTCACTGTGCTTGAGGTTCTGGTTTTAGATCCTATTGAGTAGTCAGAAGACTGGAAAATAGCTTTACAAGCTTTAGTCCGTTTACCATTTCTCATAACACAAGTAGACGTTTACTGAAAGAAGAACATTACAAACTGACACACAAGCAACATGCACAAATACAACACATTTCCAAATCCAGTAAAGAAAATGAAATATTGCAAACATTTTGTTTCATTTCAAAACTGATCTTTATTTATAACTCCCTTTATCTGCTTCTCTCTCTCTCTTTTCTCTCTGCAGGTATGAGATAGGTGGTTGTTGGACAGTCAGAGACTGTATGGTGGTGTACAGGAACACCTCTCATGTCCGCTGTCAGTGCCAGAGACTGGGCACATTTGGCGTGCTGATGGACAGTTCACACAGAGAGGTTAGTGTCAGGGTAGAACTTCTTAAAGACATATAAGCCACATATTTATTATAATAAGCACTCATTCATTCATTACATCCTTTTTTAGTTTACTGTCAGGAATACTTTTGTACACCAGTGTGTCAGTTTTCTTCTTTTTGATGTGTAACGTCTTATCTGATGATTGCTGGATTTAGTGTAGAAGTTTCAAATCTAGAGATTTAAATCCTGCCTGACACTCTAAAGGCTAAAGGAAGCCTTGTTCCAGCTGTAGAAGATTTTCACAGTTTAATACGAAAATCACTTCCAGCACACCCCAGCATACTAAGAGATGATGTATCAGATCTTTGTCAAACAGAAACAGGAAACGTGGAACAGAAACCTCATGCCTAACAATGAATTAAAAGTCGGACATTTCTCCAAAGGTATATTGTAAATTATAATTATATATATGCCTAAATGACATGTTTATTTGTCATTGTTTGTCCAGTACAATTTGAAATAAACTGATGCTGGTGTCTGCTCTTTTTACAGCAGCATATGCTTCCTCAATGCAGTGATGAATCAATTTTATATTTCATATACAGACAGAAGATAGAGTTCTGCCAGCTTCCTCCATCTGGTCTCCAATTTGTAAAGATACTTTTCCTTTTATGCTGCTTTCATTCTCTCTTGACAAAAAGGTCTGATACAGAGGTCCTCTCCTACGCCTTCTCCTTTTTGAATCCTTTATATGTATCTTTTAAAACCAGACCGTGTTTTTTGCAGTTATTTGCAGTTATTTCACAATTTAAAGGTATCCATGCTTTTCTTTTCTTTTTTAAATCTCAAACAATCTAATAGCTGGTGTAACATCGCTTTCCCCAGTTTATCTAAATGCTTTCCAAATGATTTGACAACTTTGCTGTAAATATCGTCCTGTCATCCTCAGTGTGAAGACAGTAGAGGGGATGGGAAACCAGACTGAAATAGCTTCATGTTAAAATGATTCAGTTTCATGTCTTTGCCTCATTTCATCATCTGATTTTCATCTTTTGCTCAGACTTACTCCCTCCCTTACTCGTATCTGTGCTGCCCTGCCTTTCTTATTCCCATTTTCTTTCTCCGCTACTACTCCCCCTCCTCTCCTCCTTTTCTTTTCATCATAACCCACCACTGTGATATAAATCCAGTAATACCCTCTCTCTGTCATCTCTCCCCTTCTCACACCTCTCTATGAGCAGCAGCTGGAGGGGGATCTGGAAACACTGGCCTTGGTCACCTACTCCTCTCTCTGCGTCTCCATGCTGGCTCTCCTCCTCACTGTCCTCGTGCTCTCCTGCCTCCGAGGCCTCAAGTCCAACACCAGGAGCATCCATTCAAACACAGCAGCAGCCATGTTTTTGTCTGAGTTGGTGTTTCTACTTGGAGTCAATCAGACTGAACAACAGGTAGATACTGAAAGGGGGTTGTGTGGTTGGATTTCAGAAGGCTTGTTATTGATGGATTTAGCCTATTTGCTTTCCTCTTGAAGATTTGGCCATGTACTCACCAATGTACAGTATGCTCATACTTCCTGACTTTGTGATTCTCTATATCAAGGGTGGGTCTTTTCTTTATATCACCCAACACTTAGTTTTGTTTCCTCCAATGGCCTTTTCTTCTCCCAATTAATATTCCTCCTCTCCTGACCCTATCCCCCTCTGTTTTATACTTCATAGATATGTGTGTGTGTGTCTGTGTGTGTGTCTGTGTGTGTCTGAGTGTGTTTAATGAACAGCGATCCCTACTAAAAAAATATGTGCTCACTCAGCATGAAATCCAATTAATTAAGCTGTAACGTCGACAAAGTGAACTCCACTGCTCTTAACAGTGTGACTGGTAACTTCTAGCTGAACAATATGTTCTCTAATTCATGTACATCATGCTTGGGAGAGCATGTTAGTGCTAGCAGCAGTTGTGTGGGTTTGTGTGCACATTGGTTTTTATGTGCTTGTGCATATTTCAGTTTTTCTATCTTTTTTTGTGTGTAATTGTTAGTGTTGGTATTAATGTGTGTGGGCGTGTGAAATTCATCGTCTGGCCTTTTTCCTGCCAAGGCAGCTGCTATTTCTATGTTGTCTCTGGATGTATAGTTGGGAATATATGCTGAGCTTCCTTTTACCATAGAAAACTGGGACTTGCATTACTGCTTTCCTTAACTCACAGATAGTGTTCAGTAGTTGTGTTTCCTGAGGGGAGTAATTCTGCTTGTTTAAGGTTTAAAAATTGCAAATATTTGATTGTTTTCTATGTTACATTTCTATTAAGAGGCCAGCCTGAATGTGTCACACATTTTAGGGAACAAGAGCTTTAATCACAAGAATCATGTTCATTAGATGGTGTGTGTCATCAACTGTATGCCTTGAAGATTTGTTTGTAGAGAGGCCAATTCATTCTGATTGAGTCCTTACTACTTATCTAAACCTATTTGAAATCCTTGAGCTTTTCAAGCAGTAATCTACTTTTTCAGTTCTAACTTAATTTCAATTTTCTGAGGATGTTTTCAGTAATGGCTCTCAGATTCCAGAACCCACCTATTTAAAAATCACAAACCAGAACAATTTAAAGCTGTTTTCTGTCGTTGCTTTAGTCTTTGCTTTTACTCTTGACAAACACCCAGAAATTCTTGGAAAATAGCGACTTCACTTCGACTTGTATTTTGTGCCACTTGAGTTTAAATGGCATCTCATCAGTCTGAACAAACAGACTAAAGGCTTTACAGTTCAAATCGCCCACTTCAGACACCCTTGAAAGCAGCCTGAGGGTGATTTCTTTAATGTTAATGTTCTGCATTATTCATGGGGGAACTTCAACGTTACTGTCAATCCAAACAGCGACCCTTTAACTGACAAAAGTGATTTGGAACTTTATCTCCTGCCTTTACGAAAACTAGGATTTACAAATGAAAGTATGCAATCCAAACCAATGGCCTTGGTTGGACCTAATGTAACTATATTCTCTGAGATTGCACACTCTTAACAATGATTTAAAATCCTCTTAACTTAAATGCAGCATCCAACCTGTGTTAATAAAGACATTGTTATGCATGAACATCAATTCTGGTTCATTGATATTCCAAAAGATAAAAGAAATTAGACTTAACGTGATTTAATGAGCTCCTGAGTCCCCTTATAACCAAGAGACAAGTTAGCCTTACATTATGTTACATGAATACTTTGAGACTTTGAAGCACAAAAAACTGCTAAGGAAATCACAAGGCCTGCTGGGTAGTTTAACTCTGAGTAGTTTCCTCTCCTCATGGTGCTAACTGATGTACCCATACAAGCAGTTAGGAAAGTACTCTTGGGTGTTATTGCCATAATTCAACCTATTAACAACATTCATTTACACATCACATCAGTTAGAGTACTAACATTTACCTCCAGGAAATGCACAAACTGTCATAAACCCTGTTCATTAGTCGCTTTGCTTATTTAATCATGAATGCCTCTTATTTCATTTAGAACACCTGATGTGTTGCAATAAAAACGTGTTGGTTGCTTGTCAAGATGTCTGCTCTGCAGCTGTCATGAAATCAATACAAAGGATTCAATTTTCATCTCCCTTTCTTCACATTTTTCTGCTGTTCTTTTATTCTTTTTCTTTCTTGTCTCTGCATTCTGTGCATTTCTCCTTCCCCTTTGTTGTTTCTTTCTTTCTTTTCTCACATGACATGGTTTATCTTTCTCTCCTTCCTATAACAATCTCATCCTCCTCCTTCCCTTCATTATTCTTAATCGTTCTCTTTCTCTCTCTTTCCCTCCAGTTCTTGTGCACGGTTGTTGCCATCTTACTGCATTACTTCTTCATGTCCACGTTTGCCTGGATGTTTGTGGAGGGCCTTCATATCTACCGCATGCAGACTGAGCAACGCAACATCAACTTCGGTGCCATGAGGTTTTACTATGCCATCGGCTGGGGCGTGCCTGCCATCATCACAGGTAACATACAGACATATTCACAGACATGCAAGATCTATGTGATGTCTGAAATGTGTCCATGTATCTGTGTTAACAGAGACAGTCAAACACACATCTATGCATACTGTCATATTAGTGCTTAAACACACAACACACACACATTCACAATGAGGCTGGCTGTGTAGATAAGGTGTCCTTTTGACACTTGTATTTAACAGGTTTCAGTGACATTTTAATATAGAAATACTTGCACTAACACACACACACACACACACACACACACACACAGACTTACTAATACATACGCGCACACACACAGGCAAAAGCAATTTATTCCTTGACACATGCTATGAGCAAGTAATATCTGCCTGCTTACTTCTCTCTCTGCTTTTTTTTTGACACACACACACACATTTTTGGTTCCATCTAATCTCATACATGCTGTCAGATCTCCTCTATCTGATGCTGTCACCCTGGCACACAAACACACAAACAAAAACACAAACACTGACCACTGCCTCACCTTGCCTGAAGAAGATAAATGTCTCCCACAAGACACACACATGCACACACACACTGGCTGCATCTCTCTTACCTGCAGACCCGAGGTGTATTTGTCTGTCTTTTCGGTACTTCTTCTTCTTATTACTTTTTCACTCACTTTTTTTACCCACAGCTGTCAAAACATTCCCACTGGTGTCCAAACAGGATACAGAAAGAGCAGAGACTTCACTGTTTTTAGATTAGTCACAAACCACGCTTTAACTGTCTGTTTTTTGGTTTGCTCATAGAGACGTTTCTCTGCACTGATAATCGACAAACAATAATAGCCTGACATTATTTAACAACAACAATCATTTTCTACAAAGACATCTGTTATAAAAAGTGATATACGTATCACCACTGGTATTACTTCTGAAGTAGCACCTTTGCGAGGAGATTTTAAGTAGGCACTTTTGTTCCAGAAAAAACAGATAAAAGTGTACACATTAATTAGTGATGCTGTGTGAGAGGAAACAACTCAAACATTTCAAAACATTGTAGCTATTTTCAATATGAAGGTATTTTGTTAATTAGTTCTCTAAAGACAACAGACTCAACAGTTGATATGAAGAATGTCGTCAACAACATACCTGTTTATCAGTCTGTTTAGTCCTGGCTTATAGATCGTAGAGGTGGCTGTGATTTATCAACACAGAAGTGTGTTGTTTAGCTCGGTGCTTTGTGAGATTATAATTACTATTCTTAGCAGTGATTAAAGTATTCCTTCCGCTATATTCTAGTGGTTTAACTCGAGCAGTGAAAAATAATGTTTGTATTTCCAAGACAGAAAAGTCACCCCTGAATGATCATCAGCGTATGTGTGTGTTCACTGCGCCCGACATTCTTTCTCCCAGGATGCTACTGTGCTGTCGTTAGCGTAACCTCGCCCACCAAATCCGTGTCAATAAACCTTAATCTTGTGTTGTTGTAAGCCATTTCACGAGGCAAAAAAAAGTGAAGAGTAACAAGCTTAATGTGTGTTGAATTTGAAGAGTAGTTCTGATTAAGATGGAAAGAGCAGGAAATGTAGCATCAGTTCACAGAACAAACCAGAAGTGAAATTGACAACATATTGATATATAATCAATAATCTAATCATATCACACAACTACTAATGCTCAGGTGCTGATTATCTCCAGCAGGATGTTTTGCTCTCAAAATATAAGTAATAATAATAACTACCTTGCAGTAATTATAATGCGTTCTGATTTGTCATTAACCTTTCCCGCCAGTGTCAATTAAGGTCATACTGTCACATACTGCTCCGCCTCCCTTCCTCTCTCTCTCTCTGTGACTGACTGAAGAGAGCTTAGAGGAGATCTTCCCGTCTGATCCAACTGTCTGTCTCTTCCTTGTAGGCTTGGCAGTGGGATTGGACCCAGAGGGTTACGGGAACCCGGACTTCTGTTGGATCTCTATCTACGACAAACTCATCTGGAGCTTTGCTGGTCCCATAGCCATTGTCATACTGGTAACTGTCTCCCTGAATGTCTGACATTCTGTCGTTGGAGGTCATGCATACAAACTTGGAATAGAAATAATAAGACAGTTTCCACTGGCTGTATGCTCACAAAAATGAGCAGAATGATAAAATCAGTCATAAGTGGAAGCTTCCCAAGTTGAACTTTAAAAAGACGACACACAGCTGTACCAACATTTTACTTCCCTCCCTCATCAGTGAACACCTTTCACATCCTGCCTTTCCTTATTCTATAAATATGTATTTATTGGGCAAATTTATTCCTTCTATTCACTGTTCTTCTGATTTGTATTAAATGAAACTAAAAACACTAAAACTCAAAATTTCCATGTCTTTAAAACAAATTCAATTTTTCTAATCAGATGATTATTTTATCCACATGATTATGTTTCATCTAAAGTAATCCATGAGGTTTTCTAACAACAGCTTTGAATTTGATATGAAATGTATACAGAATGTTCCCTTACCAATTCTTTTGATGCCCATCCAGATGAATGGAGGGATTTTCATGATTGTAGCCAAGATGTCCTGCAATCCGTCTCAGAAGGAGACCAAGAAGCTCCCTGTCATGTGAGTACCTTTCTCCTTTCATTATGTAAGCCTGGCTAATTTAATCTATGATGTAACAAAGTTCATCTGAACAGTTACATCATTGTGCAATTCTAAATTATGAAATATAAATGATGCTGAAACAATTTGTTGCTTAAAAGAGAATACCTTTAAAGAACTAATGTGTCTACTAAAAAGTTAAACAAAATGATAAAATATGAAAGTGTACTTAAAGGCAGGGTTGGTGCTTTTCGAAAACTAGCATGATTTTGAAAGTAGCATTCCCTCAGTGCCAGGGAGGCATCTGATTGGTTCATCAGATTGGTACTTCGTGGCAGACATTGGTCAAAGTTTTTACATGTTAACAACTGCTACAGATGATGGATTTTCTTTGTTCCTTTTTCAGAGAACATAAATTATTAATTTCTGTCAGGACCTAAAGACAATTTCAACCAAAAAGTGTATCTGGAGAAAATTACCAACCCTGCCTTTAAATGTCCAGATTTCACAGCTTTAATCTTCTTTGTGAATTTTGCAGCGGATCATAACGATAACATGACATGATAGAATCATAAAAACTATTCCTGTTCAAGTTTGTAATGGATTTGTTACTGTTAACTTATAGATGGGAATCGTATCTGTTATCGGTCTCTGTCTCCTTCAGTCAGTGGTGATTAAATAGGCAATGATCATGTCAGGCCGTGTAATTTATCAAATCATTTCTACAAGAAGTGACTGATGATGTGTGAAGACTTTGTTTGCCCTCCTCCTCACAAATCTATCTCATGAAACAACCAATGGATTTCTGTTTTCTCCTGCCTCTGCTTACCCTGAGTTCTTCTCACTCTTGCGTTTTTTTGTGCAATTGCCTTCTTAAATTTAATCGATGCATCATTCATGGGCATCAATAAAGAGTCAGCTGTTTTAAATGAGTCTGTAAATGGATAATGCCCACACGTGTATGAAATCACAAGTCAGAGTATAACTTTCTTCACTGAAGGGCAAGTTGTTTAGCCAGCAGGGTAGTAAAGGGAGGTTTTCAGGGTTATTATGAATATGAGATGTTCCCAGTTACAGCTTGGCCATTCTCTTTAAACAGAGGAGTGTTTTTTAAACCATGAACTCTTCCTGGTGAATCCAGATCTAACCTTTGTCCCTCACACTGCTCTCTGTGTTTCTTTCTTCAGTGCTACTATTCGCGATGCCTTCATGCTGCTGCTCGTTGCCACCTCCACCTGGCTGTGTGGTCTAATGGCTGTGAACAACAGCATCCTTGCTTTCTACTATATATTCAATGTCCTCTGCTTGGTGCAGGTATGATAGACTTTTATGTTTTGAAGCTGGTGATTTTTTTGGGGGGAGGACTAATAAGAACTAAAACTCAATGTTTGCTTGTTATTCATGGTTTCTCTCTGTGTGTCTGTCTACCTCTCTCTAAAAGGGTCTGTCGGTGATGCTGGTCTTCACTGTGTTCAACGCAGAGGTTCAGGAGGCCTGGAGTGTTGCCTGTTTGGGAAAGAAGAGCCCCGGAGAAGACCCACCAAGACCACCTCAGAACACTGTGAGTTACAACTGGGTACTTTGTACTCCTGCAGCTCGTCTCTTAGATGGGTTTATTTCACTGGATTCATCGTGTGAACTGAAATCTCCATGAAATTGTTGCAATCACCATGACTGCAAGCATTCAAAAATAAAACTGAAAATATAATTGTGCATGTGCATACATGTGCATTGATGATAAAAATGTGACTCACAGCACAATAACAAGTGTGAGTCTATGTAAGGCTGTAAATCGTCTCGCTGCCGATTGCAGAGCCATTTACTATTTCTAGAGGCCGAATTACTTACTCTGCCCATTACTGGGCTAGCACAAAAGACCTCCTGCCCTCAATTCCTCCTTCCCTCTATCCATCCATCCATCTTTCCTGTCCTCCTTCTGTCCCCTGGTTGTGCCTTTAGGGTTTGTCGCTGACCCACTTCAAACAATATACCGACCAAGGGAGCCCTGCTTACTCTTTAGCCCACTTCTACAAAAGCACTGTCCAGTCGTGTGTGTGCGCGTGTGTATATGTGTGTATATTTGTGTGCATGCGTGCCTGTGTTTCTATTCAACAGTGGACCTGGTGTTTGTTACACATTCACCAGCATAGTTTCCTTCCAATAGTTTTTAGTGATGCTAAAATATCGTCTTAAAAACGTGTGTGTGTGTGTGTCTGTGTGTGTGTGCGTGTGCGTGTGCGTGTGCGTGCGTGTGACCCCCGTGGATATACAGTGTACTCAACATGTAGCCTAGATGTGGGTGGTCATGAATTATTGTTGTGTATATATTCAGTGACTGTGTATTAGATCACACATGTAGTAGACTACTCCATGCTTTTAACCCCCCCCTTTCCACTAAAGCTCTTCCAGTACATTTCTGTGTCATCTGGGGCCAAATGACTGTACTTTATCAAAACTATTATTAGACTCACTAGTGTGCTGTTTTTACCTCTGATGGACAGTATATATAAATGATCACCTGTGCATACTCTTCCTCCTGTCTAAATCATACTGTATTATTTATGAGTTATTTATGACTGCAATCGCCTCACACAGTATAAAAAGATAAAGTTGTGTCCCATTTCCAGGCAGTGCGCTTCAGCACTAGCCGAGGCTGCTTTTTATATCTGCACACAAACAGTATTCAGCTGCTTTGATAAACCTCTTTTTCACCATACAAAGGTTGTAGTTATTCTCAGTGTCTCACATGGTTCTTAAACATCTATTGTATTAGGAAGTACACTGAATTAATGATTACTTTTAAAAAGCCCAGAGAGAAGCCCTTCGTGAAAAAAGGTTATAATGGGAAAGAGGCCAGATAAGTTAGCCCACAATGAGAGTTGGATTTTCACTCTTAAACTGTTGGTGTTTATACATCCATGTTTGGTATAAATGTATCAGTTGTCAAAGAGAAAAGGAGGATTTATTGAAAAAAAAAATCATAAAAAGAGATAAAGGTTTATGTTTTAATCTGATCTACGCTGTTGATGTAGTTTTTGCTGATAGTTATTATCTTCCTCTCTTCCTTCGTGTGTGCGTGTGTGTGTGCGTGTGTGTGTGTGTGTGTGTGTGTGTGTGTGTGTGTGTGTGTTCAGGCTCAGAACCCTTATCACAATGCTTCTCTGTTGGAGCAGAGCGGGCTGCACCGGATCACCCTGGGGACTTCTACTATCTCCTCTGTCAGCTCTGCCAGGTATAGAAACACACTAACACATACACAAACTCTTACACAGACACAATCCACTCACATTCAAACTTTTAACAAAATGCTTGAAATGAAGTTGGATGAAAAACTTCTAATACGAAAGCAAATAACTTGTCATTCAAGTAGAAATGTGTCAGCTGTGAGTGATTCTCTGTGACTCTGATTTGAGATAAAATCGCTTCAGGGGGGAAATTCCCTCTCTAATAAAACCATGTCGTGTACTTTATGGGTCAGTGGGGTAAAGATAAGGAAGACATGATGGAATAATGTCATGTACTGTATGTAGAGCAACACTAATGCAATCTCAGAGTGGCTGTTTGTGTCTTGGTTGCTCAGTGATTGTCCTTCTTGTCTATCTTTCTTTGCGTGTGTACAGTACATACTTTATGTGTGTGTCGCTGCTCTCTTTTTTAATCGGCCATTGGCCTTTGTGAGCCTGCCTACAGTCTACTAAATGTGTGCCTGTGGTTGTCTGTGTGCATCTATGTGTCCTCATTCTTATCCTTTTTTCTCTGTTAGAGAAAATCTTCTGGCTCGTCAGACTCTGGAACAAAACATCGTCAACACTGGAGCCACAGACCTGGATGTGGCCATGTTCCACAGAGATGGAGGTATACACAGAGTAGACACATTTATATGAAGTACACATACAGAAACACAGAAAACAAGCAGCAATAATTAGTAGTATTTCCTTTCCTTCACACCTGTTTCTCTATGTGGATGAATAAAAACTGGATAACTCTCTTTCCTTTATTCTCTTTCCCCTTCTCTCTCTTACCTTGCTACCTCCTCCTTTCTGTCATTCTCTTCTTTTTCCCACTCTGTTTTCTCCCAGGTGAAGATTCGGATTCAGACTCAGACCTCTCCATGGAGGAAGATCGCAGTCTCTCCATCCCCTCCTCAGAGAGCGATGACAATGTCCGACTCCGTGGGCGCATCCAGCGGCGATTCAAACGCTCCAATCACAGTGAGCGTCTGCTCACTGAGACGACCCAAAACGGCACCAAAGGTTTATTATTCTACAGATTTTTTAAACATATTTTCACCTTGTTTTGTCTTTTGAGTGATTTATTTGTTCCTCACTGCCAGCAGTTATTTGGAGTCTAGCTGTAGGATAATTAAACAGATGATGAGCTCAGCTGATTGAACCTGAAATTTGAAATGGAATGGTTCCATCAAATAGTCACATGGTAGCAGAAAACATTACATGCATGTTTTAAAGGAATACTCTTATCTATATTCCATTTATACTGTTACTGTATTTGAAATATAAAATATTCAGCATGTGTAAGGTGTAACTGGGGTTCAACATTGTTTGTTTGTTTATTTTTTAAGATCCCCATTAGCTTATGTGTTAAACATTAGCTACTCTTTCTGAGGTCTGCATATCATCATTGTCAAAATGGCATCAGTTTAATTGTCTTTCTCTTCTGCACATTATGGCAGCTGTAATCAGATTACATTTAAAACAGTTACAAGGTCTCGTCTTGTACTAGCACATTTGATTAGAAGTGGTGTGTAAAACAACTTATTAGCAAAGTCATGATTGTTTGTAAGGAAGGACGTGTGTGGGAAGTATATTCATTTCATTAAGTTTAAACCCTCATGCATCCATTAACTGTGCCTGGATCACCTTTGAGTCTTGCTGGCCTGGAGTGTGTTTCTGGACAGGTCACTACTTTATCACAGGGATAGAAGATAGTAGGAAAACATTCATTATGAGGTTCCAGAAAAACCTGACATGCATGTCGATGTTCTAACAAAACTCACATGTTGGGTGAACACAGAAAGCCCAGCACCACCCAGCAGAGTCAAACAATCAACAGTATATCCCTGAAGTCCTCTCTTTTATCTCAGATATAAAGAAACACACAACACCACACACATAACAACAAGAGAAAATGTCAGCGCTGGTTGACATAAATCAATACCTACTTTCTTCTGTTACAAACACAAAGATATCATGCATAAAACATGAGTTTTTACACTTCAAACCATGTGCTATAAATGTCATGCATGCATAGACGGTTCTCTGCAAAAGGTTTCACTGTGAGGAAAGGCCAGACCTGTGCAAATCTATAAAACCAGTAATCAATTCTTAGCTTAATAAGCCATCTGGATCACATGAACTCTATTCAGGGCAAGACATGGACCAGAGCTGTCAGTTGAGCAGAGGAGGACAGGATCCAGATGGCCAGCACAGTCCAATCAATTTATCAATGCAGACTCAGTGAAGGGCCGGAGCAGGGCTGAGGGGTGTGGTCGTTTGTCTGAAAGGTCACAGTGTAAAGAAGCCGGACTATTCGTTGTGACAAAGTGTTTTATACTACCCTGTTGACTGCTCACCTGAATCAATGAGGTGCTTGACGACTGTCCTATGAAGGTGTATAACTAGCAGCTGAAAAGGACAGACAAAGCAATAGTTTTCACCTTCTGCTGCAGTGTTTGAAAGAATGTTAGGGTGGGGAAAACTCTTAATATAAGAAATACAACACACAACAATTTCTTGATAGAAAAATTGTAATTTCTTGATAGATATTATGAATTACACCTTTAGAAGTTGCAGAGAAATATTAGCACATTCATCAAGTTTTTCACAACCGCTTTTACCACCATTAATGATTTATTACTTGTTAGTGATGATAACAGTAGTAGTTATTTTTCCCATATACCTTTCCACCTTAACTTTACTTTTGATATTTCTTGCCAGCACTTGATCGGGCCTGTTGCTTTATCATAAATCATGACGTTAACTGAGAACATGTATGTAAGAAAAAGGTTTCATCTCCTTAATTGTTACTTAAACTGATATTAGACTCACATGTAACCAGAAATCTTTCTTTTTCCTTTACAGATCTGGATGGCAATGACCTTCTGTCCTATTGGCCAGCTTTGGAGGAGTGCGAGACACACAGTCTGCAGAAATGGGGCTCAGAGCGGCCCCTGGGGGCAGATTACAGCAAGGATGCTGCCAACAACAACCAGGCTGACGCAGCGCTGACCAGTGGGGACGAGAGCGGCCTCACCCAGCCACACAGGCACCGCAAGGGTGAGGGAAACAAGTATACAGATTACTGGAGTCAAATTCCATGTATGTGTAAACATACCCGGCCAATAAAGCTGAGTCTAATACTGACATATCTCACAATCAAAGGACTCACTGACATAATTGTATTCAGGGTTTTTTTGGCCTCTATATTATGAACGTAGTATCTTCTCAATCTTAGTATTTGTCTAAAATTGCCAACATCATTTCTGACTGATGCAGCGCCAGTCATCAGACTAAAAATGAGGCATTTTGACAAGACGAAGATGGAGGCGATGTCCGCTCAGTGAGCTGAATCAGCAAAGCAGCATTTAAGCACTGCTCATGACTGAGACACTTTTTAGTTTGTATTAGTTTAATTTTTGCAGTACACGCTCATAGCAGTGTGATTAATGTGACCCAGCTGTGACTACACTTTCAAGATTCATGATTTCATTTTCCGTATACACCGACATACATAAAGAATACAAAATTCTATTTTCCCAGCCCCCAAACAGTTTAGTAGAAAGTAAGAAATATATCAATTTACCTAAAAAGTAACCTCCCATAGAAACAACCCTACTAAAGAAACTAAATCACGTCTATAATCACAGATGTCCAAAAAGGTAAACATATTTATTTCATATTACAGGATTCTAAACTTTAAATGTAGTTAAAAGGAACTTTGTCGTTAGAATAGCTTTGAAATGTTGGACTCTGAATCTAAGTGCTGGTGAATTTGCCGTGCTCTGCACTTTGGTCATCTCGTGTGTATGTAATCTAGGAGTTTGTGTGCTCTCATTTAAACCTCCAGTCGAGTGGCTTCTATTCAAGTCTAAGTTTGTCCTTAAAAGCATGGGGACATCTTGCAGTGTGTATAGCGAGGACACTCACATATGAGATAGGCATGTGCACACATACACACAGAACAACACTCATGCAGTGAGGGAGTAAGAGATGCAGGTTAAGTTGGAAATCACTCATGTTGCCTGAAAGCGTGTGTGACATTTTGGGGACTATATTTGTACACAGAATACATTTAACACACAGACAAGTGCCCACATTTACACACACACACACTAAAGTGGATGCAGGAAAGAAACCACACTTTTTGAAGTATACGGTGACACCACATTTAAAGTCTTCCTCAGATTAAACAGATTATAATTGGTTTAGATGAATGTGAACGTTGAGCAAAGAAAGGCATAAAAAGGGCATTATTTATTCAACATTATTCTCCCTTTGACTTTCTTCTCTTTCTTATCACTTATTGCTCATGCCATCCTCTCTCCTTCTCACATTCTTTTTCTCTCCTCCCAGGTATCCTGAAGAATCGTATCGGCTGTCCCCCTGCCCTCCAGGGTCTTGCCACCATGGGCCGCGTCCCCAGTGATCTCAACTGGTACCGGACCTCTACTTTGGGACACCGAGGCGTTCCTGCAGCCTCTTATGGTCGCATGTACTCTGCCACAGCCGGCGCCAGTGGAGGTTCTGGATCTCTCTCCCAACCTGCTTCCCGCTACTCATCCAGGGAGCACCTCGACTCACTGTCACGGAGGCAGCTGTCCAGGGATCCGCTAGGCAGGCAAACAGTTGGGGGCTCTAGGGACAGGCTGGACTCACGTGGTTCTAGAGACAACCTTGATCTCTTACCCAGGAGGAGAGAGCTGGGGCAGGGAGCAGGACTAGGGGGCCTAGGCCTTGACCACCAGCGAGTCTCATCTTCTAGGGAGAACTTGACGGGATCCAGGGACAGACTGGACAACCACCACACGGGCAGCATCCACGCCTCCAGGGAGGACCTGAGTGGAAACGGAGCAGTGGGACCAGGGATGGAGGGATATCTCAGTGGATCTCGGTCACATCTCAACTCACTACCACGTCGGCAGGCTTCATCCCGGGAGCACCTAGGGGGGGCGCTGATGAGCAGTAGGTCCAGAGAGCAGTTGGAGACCAATGGAGTCGGAGCTCAGGCTCAGCCATGTCGGGAATGGCTCCGCACTCTGCCTCCCCGTCAGCCCTCACACCCTGACCAGCCTCCCTCCTCCTCGCCTCCACCCCCAATCTCTGAGGAGCCCCAAGAGCAGCTCTCTGCTCCACCTCACATCAGGGGACGACTGGACTCAGCACCTCAATGTAGGTACCCAGGTCAGGTCCCCCAAGCTGCAGGTTCAAATCCAAACCCACTGGGCCGACAGCCATCCAGTGAACATCTGGATATTTTGTCCTCCATCCTGGCGTCCTTCAATTCCACTGTCCTAACTCCTCCCCCTGCTGGCTCTAACCCTGGGCCTAATGGCTCCGCCCTCGGACCCTCCCCCTCCCTGCCTCAATCCGCCACCTCCCACAGTGTGTCGGAAGTCTCCCCTGACTCAGAGTAAGTCTCTTTATGTGGAAGAATCTTCCTTGGCTTACCCTCTCCTCCTATCCCTTTTCTATTCCATTATCTTTGTCCGTTTCTTTTCCTCTCTGGCATTCTTTCCTTTTTCCTCCCTTCTTTTTCTCTTAGATTAACTTCGTTGTTATTTTCTAATGGTTCCTTTTCTGTCTTCTCTATCCTTTTATCTCAACCTTACTCAGAGCTTAGTCCCATTTCTAAGATTCTTTATCTTTTCATCCCTTTGTTTTTTGTTTTCTCGCTTTATCTCTTCTTTATTTGTCCTTCTCCCTCTTAGAGCTTCATTTCATGCTTGATTTCTATTTTTATGACCATGTACATTCTTAACCATCAGAGAAGTTTCCATGATTAACTTCCCTCTCCTTTACTTCAGAGCCAACAGAAGTGAAGGACAGTCTTGATGACAGCCTCCATGTCCCTTTATATATTGTGACAGTGCTTGGAACACAAGGGACAAATTCAAAGGTCATGGAAGGCCTTGAACCACTGGGACACCCTGGGCCATCGGAAGACTACAAACAAACAATGACGGAGGAGACACTAAGTTGGAAAGAAAGTAAGACAGAGCATGTGTCTTGAAGCTTGTGGGCCGTTTGTACTTTATTAAGGTTTTAAGTCCCACCGCCTTCAATGATGACATCATTTCTTTGGACAATGAGTCTCCAACCTCTACTACCTAAAACGATTTAGAGACAAACACAAACTCCTCAGATCTCAAACACAAAAGTCAGCTTGATCCAGACAAGTAGATAAAAAAATGACAGACTGTACATAACATTTTTTATACATTTTGTATCTTTTTCATTGGAGATGAAGAAGAAATCTCTTGTGATGTTTCTTTTTTTTTAACGATTGTGTCCGTGTGAGGTTGTGAGTGAGGTTGGTGCGAGTGCAGTCTCTTTTGTTGCTGAGGGAGAGATCCCCCTCCCCCCTCCCCCCCACATAGAGAAAAAAAAATCCCACAAACCTCCTTGTGTGTTCCTCAGAAACTTTCCCTCACACCCATCAACTTTGTGTATAGTGACAGGGGTCCGGCAATAGTATCTGATGAGATTATCGAACATGACATGGTTGGAGGGAAAATATCAAAGAAGGAAGACGTGATTGTAAATAGAGGATGAAAATATTTTAAGAGAAGAGATTTGATTGAACAAAATGATTGTGAAGAAAAAGATGGCCGACATTAAGCTTAAACACTACGTGGAGGTTCAGAGTCCAGCTGTCAAATCTCTGTCACGAGTATCAAAGTATCAGCTCCGTCTGGAGATTGTGCTGTTTTGTGATCTGCTGTATATGAATGTGACCTTGTCATCTGTCCGTGTATCTCTGTGCCTCTGATCCAGACCATGTCAGGGGACGGATATTTCAAAACCACCTTTCGTCTTCAGGTGGCAGGTACCTGTCTGCCTCTCTGTTTTGAGGCTGTATCATAAAACAACCATTCAAAGCCCTTCAAGGTATTATGTGCTTTTATGCATCAAGACTCAACCTGCCTCAAGAGACACCCCAGGAGCAGCCCAAATAAGTATAAGAATAAGTCTCCTTATTTCTGCATAGTAATGCAGAAGTTCTCAACATATCCAAGCCAAAGGGACAGCTGCTTAAAATCAGTACATCTCACTAATGCGCTCTGGTTTCCTGTGATGACATTGCATTGTGCAGGGTGGAATTGCATAAGATGTAATTTACTGTTTTGTTTTTTTTTAAACCTGATTTTTTTTTTAAATAGTGCCATGGAAAAAAATCCTGAAGTGACAAACCGTATTTTATCAATGAGGCCCCAGGTCTTGGTATGTGGTTGCTAATGGAATTTGATTCGGCATTACAGGGAGCTGATCAGATTGAAACAATTATGAGTATTATCTCAGTGTGCTCAGATACTTATCCAGAGACCCTGGAGAACATATCCAGCTTCAAATGTATCAGAGTGTATCAGCTCATGTCTGTATTACACAAATCCTTTACCACAACTTTTTTCTTGCTTGCCTGAACACGGTTGCTTCAACATATCCTTTTTTATGGAACATTTAGACGAGAGGAGGCACATGAGTCCTGACATCGCTTTCAAGCTGTCATTGTTGAGGTGGTTCACACCAGAACCCATCAATACAGCTTTGTTGTTGTCGTCGTTTGTACGATGATGAGATTTCTTCAAAGATACAGCGCTGCTTCTGCTGCAACAGTTTACTGAGATGTCAGTTGTGTCAGCGCTAAAAGCCTCTAAGTGGTTCTGAGATGCAGGTCTTTCCATCAGCAGCTGCTCCTTTCTCACAGCTGTTGGAGCAAGCTCCAAGTTCAAGCAGTAAGGAAACAACACGCATGCATTAGTAAGCAACCGAGATAGACATTCAGTCTACATCAGACTGTAAAGGGAGTTAAGGTGGCAAGTGTTTTTTTTTGTCAGATCATAACGCTGTGGGTTTTGAAAACTGAAAGCAAATTTTTGGAGAGATATTTGTGACAGTCCGATAAAACATCAGTGACAAGGGAAAGAGATAGAAAACAGGCTAATAATAAAAGGAGCACAACAAGCACAAGAATACATCCTGAAATACAAAACAAGAAAAGGTTGGGAGGAGAACAAATTGGGTCAGAAACAGTGACTGTGTGCAAAAATGTATCTGCAGGGAGGACAGCGTGGACATTACTCATCGCAAGAGAGGAAACAGAAGAACACACACAAACACACACATCTCACACACCTTGCCAATGCATATCTCCCATCTCTGACCGCCGCTCTGTCACCCTGGGATTTGTTGTGACAAGTGAACCTTTTCGTGACAGTAGTATTGCCAAAAAAAAGGCTCCTGCAGGGGAACACATCCAGTAGTCCTTTAAAGAGACAGCATCCTCGACAAACAGGACTTTGATTCCTTCTTTTCACCCAGCTGCTCCATTTCATTTATTTTATTTTCAACTGACAGTACCTTTAACTTGTACAGACATGAGATTTATTTTACTTATCGATTATTTATTGACATTGTGTTGATTATTTACGTTGCCATTTTGTATGAGACTGTCGACGATGTATGTGTGAGGTTTTTTTTCTGTCCAAGTGATCCCTTTTCACATGTAACGTGATGTCTAACCTGCACAGATGGAAGACTTGAAGTGGGAAAGGTGAAGATAAAAAACACCTACAATAGCAGTCTGAAAATGTTCACCTGGCATTTTAGTATTTGAATTGGTTCTTATTTAAATATTGGAGCTATGCTTGTGGAGAATTGGACTAAAGTAAATGAAAGTTCAGGCCTATATAAAGGTAGTTATCGCAAACAGAAAGACATCTTAACATCAAAACTAAGATTTCAAAACTGGATGTAAATCATGAAAATATGTCCCAGGTCAAACCTCTTCCTTCTTCCACCGTTAAAGGCCGTTACAGGGAAAACTCTTTCAGCCTTGTCCGGACCAATAGGAGCGCCAGAAGAGACTAAACAACTAAAAGAGTTCAGAGTCTAAAATGTTCTGATGTGCTCTGACAAAAATACATAAAGGGAGAGAGAGAGAGAGTCAGAGAAAGGAAAGGAGGAGGGATGGGAGATTGTCTTTGTTAGATTTGTGTGTTCATTATGGGATGCCTTCTATCCTGCTGTCTGCGAGGGACGGCGGCATGGAAACAGCTGTTCCCCTGTTACCACGGAAACAAGAGAAATGTTGGACATTAAAAAATGACTTATACACGGCTGTTTGTATTTATTCCAAGTGTGTGTGTGTGTGTGTGTGTGTGTGTGTGTGTGTGTGTGTGTGACAGAACAAGGTTTGCTGTTTCATATTCATGAGGACAGACATTTCCAGGTGCGAAAAACGGAGCAGAGAAAACAATCTGACAGAGGGATGTGTGTCTTTCTGAAAAGCTCTCTCTCTAACTTGAATCTCAAAGAATTCTGTCACTTTCAGAGAAGTCAGAGATGTTCAGCTGCCACCTTGATTCCCAGCAAGAAAACGTCTTCTCTACATAAAAGCACCCAGCTGAGGCGCAGTATAATGAGGCCTCAGGAAACTTTGAATTTCAACCAGCTGAGCAATGTCCCATTTACATTTCATATTTTTTGAGTTAGTTTCAAATCCTATGAGAATTTCTTTTTAGAAAAATTAAAGGAATATGTTGTTTATTCAGCTTTTTATGCATAACTAGATGACAGGATCCATACTTCTCTCATGTTTCTGCATTGTCAAGCAGATTAGGGTGACATATGTAAGCATGGTAAACAGCTTGCATGTCTCTACGATAACCTTACTATGCTGAGTAAGATCTTTAGAATAAGTCCGATCGCTAACAACGGGAGGATTGCAGTACAGACAGGTTGGTTGATATACTTTTCTTTCTTTTTTTCAGATTCCATTTAAAAAACTGTTTCTTTGTACAGTGATGTTAGTGGTGGGATATCCTGACATTTAACTTCAATATATCAAATATGTTGACTCTGGATGCAATCTGGTGGCTCTGAATTGTTTTTTAGAACAGTCAGCGACCTCATGTTGCCTGTCTAGAAGCTATGCATTTATTTTACCATCAACTTTTACTATCAACAATACCCAACATCAGGACTAAATGTTTAACTTTTACAGTTAAGTTATTTTATCAGTTGTAGTTTTAATGTTCATGTAATGACAGGCTGTATTTTTGTCTGTTGATTTTGATTATTTGCCCATGTATTGTTTCTTTTCTCAGATTTGTCAAATGCATGTAGTGAAACCCAATTTGCAAATGTACTTACAAAGCCAGAAATCACATTTGAAGCTAATATTGTGTTTAAAGGCACAAGAAAAGACGCTTTGCTTGTAAAAGTATTCTGACAGATTGTTCATTCATCCATTTTTCTACATGTGCAGGGATTATATTTTCATATAAAGGTCATCCTACAACAAGCTTTGACCTTCACAGAAACTTAAAACAAACATTAATAGACATCAAATCATTTGCAATACTTAAACCACACATTCAAAAATTACAGATAAAACTGGATCATCTCAACCATTTAACACAGCATAGCATTTATTCTGTATCATCTGAGTACTTCAGTGTTGTAGGTCATTAAGTGCCACTTCTTTCACCTGGATTGCTTTTAGATCGAGTATTTTACTCAAATACTTTAGTTAGTTTTGGATGTCTTTGTGAAAAGACACTAAAACAGGAAAGATGACCATCACATTGCAGATTAATTGGACAACAGTTCTTGTGATAAAATTGTATAATGTTACTCACCAGGAGCTATTTTTTGTACTTTTTGGAGTAGTCTGAAACTCAGGTACTCCAACTAGTCCTTTAAAGCTACCGTGAGGAACTTTTGTGTTTTGATGTTGGCGCCCCCTGTGGACAAAGCCAGATCTCTTATTTCCTTACTGATCTTAGTAGTGTTATCTGATTACATGTTTACCTGCTTTACTTTAGCAGCTGTTACAGTCATTAAACCATCAATATAGGACTACTCCATCTTTGTGCTGATGATCTCTTTTGCTCTTGTAGTTCATAAAGAGTCATCAATATTCATTTCAGTCGGTTTCATAGCCAGCTAAGATCTCCTCACAGTGGCTTTGAAGTAGCACTACTTCTACTTGAGTGTGATTTGTCTTGCTTTCTACTTTAAAAGAACCAAAGGCGCCTCATGCAGAAGGAAAAGTGGATTTCCTTCCTGTGCAAGGACAGCTGATGTAAGTTTACAGAATACCTTTCCTTTGCATTACAATATAAAACGATGTATAAAAATAGTGACAGTATCATGGCATATAGACATAAAATACAATATTTAAACAACCACTTGTAAAAATACAAGTATAAAACAGTTTATCCTGTTGGGTTAGATGTTTTCTCCTCTTCATCGCTGCTGCTGGAGGAAGATGGCGGCACATCCTGGCATATCCTCCTTAACTTGGCTTTGTAGTAGGCCTTCTTCATCCTGAAGGCCTTCTCCTTCTGCCGCGCCGCTCTCCTCTTCTCCCTCACCAGCTCCTGCTCCCACGCCAGCACCTTCATCCTGTTCTCCCATTCCAGGATCTTCATCTGCTGCTGCTGCTCCAGAGCGTCCGTCCTCTGCTGGAACTCCAGTCTCGACAGGTCGATGGAGTCCTGCCGAGACGAGCCGTGGCCAGATTCCTCCGTCTCGCCCACTGCCGGGTGGAGACGCTGGCTGGTGAGCCTGGAGGTACCTGTGAGGTCAGAGGAAAATAAGTCAATGAGGTGAAAGTTGTGTTTCTGAGGGCATATTTCCAATATAAAAAAAGGGCGTCCACAAATCGGAGAACAACACAGATTTTTTTCCACGCTAACAGAAAGTCCACTATGCAAATGTTTGTAGGTCATAAATGTTGTTGCAGCTTGTAGGGCTTCATCATTGGGTACCTGGTGCTGTGAAGTAGGCAGCAGGAAAAGCCACATCTTGTAGCTCTGCATTGTGGGAGCTGGAGTTAGTAGTAGGGCTGTGGTGTTGATCTGTCCAGTCGCTGCCTGATATTCTGTCCGAGGAGTCATGCTGGACGCAGATGGCCACTTGCTCCTTGCTGTCCTCAGTCTGAGACAGCGAGACATTTTTAAGTTAATTCATTACCGCTGACTGTTCACGTGAGCTGTTGGAGGTTTCATTTTTTTGTTCATTGGTTTACATTCTGATGTTTTTGCCTGAAATAAGTTTAAACCAAAATGATTGTGGATATTTACCCGACTCACTGTGCCATTCGTCTGACCAGCAGCATTTATCAACATCACATTGCCTGTTAAAAAGAAAAAAAGGACAGTGAGACAGACAGGGAGGGACAGCAGATTAATGTGTAGGAGGAAAATAGACAGACACTGCCCCCCTCTGGTGGAATTAGGTACATGTCCCCATTCATCACTCACATCTAGTATGATTAGTTCTAAGAATAAATGAATTACTGACTTATCAATTATAATTAAAAAATAAACACCTATAAAAATGTCCAGACTTTGTTAGTAGTTAAGCATGACTACAAATGAATACAAAAGAAGCAATTAAACATTTAACATATTTAATAACACTGTATTTAAAAGGTAGTGACATCAGTTGGTAGTGGGAGGAAATCAAACGATTAAATCTATTAATACTAAAATAGAATCGAGTTGAACTGTTAAACTGATCAATGAATCCAATCAGAAACTTTCTAAAATGACTTTTAAAAATGGATCAGTCTGTTCCAGTTGTCATGGCAGCAACGATTCTATCCACTTCAGTGTGCCACTGCCAAAAATCAAAATCAGTGTTGTTGTGTTGTAGCCTGTATCAGGGTGTACTGTCAAGGACACTTCTAATTAACATGTAGGCCTAAGAATAAAAAAAATAAACTGCAAAAAAAAAACCTGCCTTGGAAAAGGAACATTAAGTACATTTTACTTCTACCCCTCTGTAAGAATAACAACCTCTTCACTTAGAAAATATGCAATGACATGCTTTATATTAACCAAGCATATTAAAAATTCAAATCAGCATTTTCTCAAATAAACTAAAAAACATTACAAGGTTTAAGAAAGATTGAATGAACCCGGAAATCTTAATAACCATGATTATAAATGAATAACACAAAGACACCTGAGTAGATGATGCTGCTTCTCATCTCCACTAGAAGGTAATGATGTCTTTTCTGTTTTTTTTTAAAGATATCATATTACGGAAAATGAGTCTGAAACTGAGCAGCATTAACCATAATAATGAGTTAATGTTACTGCTCTCTCCACACTGTTTTCATCTTAAACATGCACATAAAGAATACTTGTTGACCTGGTGCTCAGGTAATAACACTCACACGTTTAGACAGCAATAACACACGCCCACCAACAACTACAACACAACACACTTATATCAGCTAGCCTGTAACAACAATGGCTCCGTCAATGTCACATGTATGCTTATACTTTTGCACATTTTAGTTTAGTAAATGGTTTTCCAGATGTAACTAAAGCTAAGCTACCTTCCAGTAGCTTGCGCACCGCTGCTTTGTGGCCAGCTCCCCTGCGTGGCTGGTGAGAGCAGCCTCGCCCATGGTCTGAAGTTTGATGGATTTACAACAAGCCCTGCATCGGGCAAAGTGAATGTCCTGGGCGTCCTTTACCAGCCATTCATTGTAAATTCCTTTTGACAGCCAGGAGTCTTGGAATTTACATTTCCCAGGCATTGTTAGCTACGAAGTTAGCACAGGACCGCTACCTAACCTAACGGGGAGACGCAACCTCATACCTTTTACTGCCTTTCGATGCGTTCACGGACTCTCAGGAAAATCCTTTTCAAATCTGTAAGATGTGCTTACAACTTAAAAAAATGTTTATTACTAAAAAACTTAGACTGTTTCAATGGAAGGTGCAGCCTCTAACCTGGTTGACGAACACAAGGAAGACCAACACATATGAAAAGACATTTTGGACATTATAAAGACTGTGCCTATATTCCCCACACTCCAAAGACAGACAGTGCAAGCTACAGAACCAGAAAATAATACCTCCCTAAGTACACCCTCTCTTCGCCCCTCTATAGCTATATGATATATACTTCCTCTGTGACCTCGTTTGTGTTTTGTTGTTGTCCTCTGCCTGTTTTTATTTTATTTATTTTTTTCTCTGTCTATTTATTTTTATTTGATTTTTTTGTCAGATGTTGCAAATGTCTTAACAAAAAGAAAAAAATGTTAATGCATACTGTAAGCTGTCTTTAACGTTGAACTTAAATAAAAAACTTTAAAGGAAAACATATGCTATATATATATAAACCAACAATATTACCGTTTGATTAATCATTCAACTTCATCTATTTAGTATTTTATTTTATGTTTTATATTTTTAATATAAATGCCGCAAATGATTTTTTTCCTTAACTTGATTGTAACTAAATTTATTTACAAAAACATGACTTCAACACTACAAAGTCTTAAGGGAATTGCATTTTTTTAATTCCGTCATAAAGGGAAAAGGGAAACTAGTGTAAGAAACAAGCGAGTGTGGTAAATTGCGATTGTAATGTCATAAATATATATATATATATATATGTATAAAGATGAATTGATCATTACAACATGACAAAAAGTACAAGGAGATAAAGATAAAAATCTCAATTGGCATGTGGATCAATGACTTTTAGGTATCATATAACTTGTCTGCTTTTTCTCCTCTGAGTTGTTTTTAAGGATTTCAAGTTCGAATTATTTTTTCCCTGAAACGTGAAGGCAACATAACTCAACATCACTTGGTCACATGTTTAATATTATCCAATTAGAAATTGGAAAAAAAATCTGACCAATCAATATTCAGAAGCTAGTACTGCGAGCGTGATTGGTTATTTGTCTACACGGAAGCCAGAACAGAAACACATGGGTACAGCATTTCGGTACGTGAATGTAAATAAAGACATTTAATGCAGATTTTGAATACCTCCATGTCTTTATTGAAATGCTTTTTGGAGGTTATGTCTGCAGTTGCATTCACATGGATCTAGAGATGTTAATGTTCTCATATTAACCCAGAAAAGAACACATGAAGAGCTCCTGCTTTTAGCATGTTTTGCTAACTGACTGCTATTGCTGTCTGCTCTGCACATAGTCATCTTTTAAATAACAGCCTACAACACAAAACAATCCATTTCTCTGACTCCGATGTATTTAACAACCACTTTGTTATTACTTTATATCTTTCAGGAACCATTTATAACTTTTCTTTTTTTTTGAAATGGGAATGTGTTGGTGAGTTAAGAGATGGAGACAGCAGCCCTGGTAGCTCCAGTCACAGCTCTGGAGTTCCTTCAGGATGAGTTTCTCCTGACAGGTTTGTTGAGAATTGAATCACAGAATTCGCCAGACACTGTACATTTATAATCCTACAAGAAATGCAGTGCTAGAAAAAGATTGGATTTGTCATATCCCCTGGCCTCTTTCTTATTTTGAAAGTAGATTGAACACTGGATAATAGCACATAGCAACACATTCATTCATATTAAATACTAAGCTGTTCTGTCCTCGCAGGTGAGGGGCCGGTCTTGAAAGTGTTCAGTCTTCAACCGCGCCCTAAAGCCTGTGCCTCACTGAGTGTGCTCCAACACTACAGAATCCACGGGCTACGACCTAAAAGATGGACAGCTGTCCCACCACAGAGCTCCACCACAGGAACCTATGAGGGGAAGAGCGACGGTTAGCACATGCAAACATTTGTTTTCAATGTTTCTCATTATCAAAGTTAATAAACTCTGTGTCAGAATGTACAAAAAAAAACACTTTCCAATGTGAGTGAAGTGAGGAAGACATTAAAGCCACAATTACTTTGGAGCTGATTTTCTGCCACTAGTTGATGAATTATTAAATAATCAGTAAAGATAAATACTTGATTCTTTATTTTCTTCTTGTCTGTGACGGCTGGTTGAAGAACTGTCCTCTGAAGGTGAATGGTTTACTCGAGCTGATAATCCTCCTTTGTCTAAGAACTCACTCTTCATCTTATTGCAGAACTAAACTCCTCCTCTCAGCCCGTCTTCTATGACCTAGCAGTGTTTGGAGGCAAGGCTGTGAGACTTGTGAGGCTCCATGTGGATTACCGCATGAGGAGCGTCTGCACTTGGAGATCTTGGGTCCCCTCATGGAGCTGCCGGACTGGGTCCTGGATGCCCGCTGGCTCTCTGGAGACCAAAACTCACGGCTCTGTGTGGCTGTAGCCCACAATAGTTCTTTACTCCTGGATGTCAAGACAGGAAACTCCTTGGTTCAGCGCTCCTGTCTGGAAGGGTGTCTGCTGTACTCTGCCCTCCTTTTGGTACATGAATCCTGGGAAGATACCGTCTTAGTAGGAGGGACAGTTTTCAACCAGCTGGTTCTCTGGAAGCCTGGAGGAGGAGACACGGGTCGAGACTGTGAGCACAAAGCTCCAGTTGAGAGACGTCTGCTGGGCACAGCGGGGTCATTTTCTGCATCTCTTACCTCCAGGACAAAGGTTGGCTGGCTTCTGCCTCCGATGACCGCAGCGTGAGGGTGTGGGGTGTCGGTGCTTTGGGGGGACCTGGAGGGATGTGCGGAGACTTGAACCCGGTTTGTTTAAGAGTCCTTTTTGGACATCAGGCTCGAGTCTTTTCTGTGTGTCTCTCCCCGGCGAAAGTGTTCAGCGCTGGAGAAGATGGCGCCTGTTTAGTCTGGGACTGGGCTGCAGGTGGCAAGGTGGTCCGTACTTTGAAAGGACACAGAGCAGGAGGGGTTCGTGCACTAGCAATCGGTGAGGAAGCAGGAAGTGAAGGGAGATGGGTGGCTACAGGAGGGGCAGATGGAGGGGTGAGGTTGTGGAGGGTGGAAGAGGGTGGAGAGAAGAAGGAGACCATGGAAGAAGCAGTGACAGACAATCTAAGTGACTTGAAATTCCCCGGCCGAGGCCTGCCTAAAGGGGTCTGCATAGCAGGGGGAGAAGATGAAAATGCAAGTTGGAGTCATAGTAAATTTGTGGTTTGCACTGACCAAGGACTAGTTTACCAGTACAGGGATGGGCAGTGGGATGTAGTGTGGCAAGGGACTCCTGAGTTTCAATCATACTGTGTGATGGAATCAGCTGCTGTCAGTGTGAAAGACTCTGTAGCTAAAGTAAGTTTGTGTGCTGTGGGAAACCTCACTGGGTCCATACAGGTGTTCCCCATCTCTCATCCTCAGTGCGGCGTTCTTCTCACAGGTGGATCAGGGAAGATTCACAGTCTCATTTGGCAAGAGGCAAAAGAAAGTTTGTATTTGCTCGCATCAGGAGCTGAAGGACTTGTCTATCGCTGGTGCATAAAAGTAGAATTAGATGAAAACTGTTCCATGACTCTTATTGTGAGCCCCCTTTCTTCTTTCCTCGTCCCCCCCTGCGCCAAACGCTGGCTGACAGCAGCACTCCTCCAATCCACATCAAAGGGGCTACTGTGGGTTTGTGGGGACAGAAGGGGGTCTCTTCTTCTGTTTCAGGAACGAGGGAAACTGGAGCAAAAAATAGATGATGACAAAAAGATGGACGAGGGCTTGCTGGAAGGCAGGCAACAGACTGAGAGAAAAGATAACAGTAGAGTTGGATTGTTGGAAGATAAAGAAAGAAAAGAAGTGGTTGACCTAACACTTCACCCGCTGAGCTGCTTGTTTGGAGCGCATGGAAAACAGGGTGTAACTTCAGTGTGTGAGCACCAGGGGCTGCTCTACAGCACTGGCAGGGACGGATGTGTGAGGGTCTTCAGAGTGCATCCAACAGCAGGAAAACCTGAAGAAAAGGGTCATGGAAAGAACATAGAAGACAAAGATGGGCTCGGGCTGGAGGTTCTCAGAGTTCAGCGGGCATGCAAGGGAATGGAGTGGCTGGAGAGGGTTTTGTTTCTTGAACCTGACATTGTGGTGAAAGAAAAAGAGGAGGAGGAGGAGGAGGAGGAGGAGCGAGAGGCCAGAGAGGAATGTGAGAACAGTTATCAGAGCAAACATGTCACTTTGACAGACAGGCTGGAGGATACAGAGACAGAAGAAAAGAGAGAAAACAAGGGGAGAGAAGCCAGGTTTGTCATCGTGGGCTTTCATGCAGTCCAGTTTGTCGTTTGGGACCCGGTGAGGCAGGAGAAGCTGTTAGCCGTGCCTTGCGGTGGGGGGCATCGCTCTTGGGGTCTCTGGCCATCTGACAAAGGAGTTTGGCCTGGATATGGAGCCCTGGTCTTCACCAAGCAAGGGGCCGTCCTGGCATCTCAACCACCAGGGGAGGAACCAAGCCGAGAGGGAAAGGCGGGACGGACCGGAGGATTAGGGCTGAGGGAGGGGGTCCATGGGAGGGGGATCGGGTGTGTGTGCAGGCTTGGGAGGATCAAGGGAATTAAGAGTCAAAGAAAAAGGGCGGCACATTTGGCAGAAATCAAGGGAAGAAATGTGAACGAAGAAGGGTATTGGGAGATAGCAGTGACAGGAGGAGAGGACACCAGCTTAACCGTCCTGGCGATACATCCCGACTCTGGCAGCATCAAAGTTCTCTCAGTCATCACGGACCACATCTCCAGTGTTCGGACACTGACAGCAATAACAGGTGAGGAGGGAAGGAGTGAAAACCCGACGCACTCTTTCTCTGCGCTGCTCGTGTCAGCCGGTGGGCGAGCTCAAATGCAGTGTTACCGGCTGTCGATCAGCTGGGACATGCAGAGGCAGGCTCCTTCCTGTCAGGTGATCCAGGTGGCCAGTCACCGATTGGACAAGCAGTGGGAGAGGAGGAGGAACCGACACAAAACGGTGAAAATGGACCCAGAAACAAGGTAGGAGATACAAAAAGAAATGGAGAATGATGTCATCCCACATGAATAATTAAGTGCATATAAGATATTCAACTATGCATACTCTATTGGATTTCTACATGTACTCATAATTCTATTTTCTATCTTTTTTTTAATCTACTTACCAGTTTGTGCATGTGTTTTCAGATACATGTCTGTCGTGGTCGTGGATGAGAAGACAGATTGTGTTCTTCTAGCTGTGGCCTGCAGTGATGGCGCTATAAGGTTGGTTTTTTAAAAATAAAAACCTGAAAATTCTTTTAGAAGGATATAGGAGTGTTGCAAAATAAAAGTTTTCTCATAATGATGTCCCTAGTCTCTATATTTTTGTCTTTTCACTTCCATACCTGTCTCTTCCAGATTGTTCTCAGTCATTGAAGGCAAGCGTCAAATTGAGTTGTTGTGGGAAACATTTTACCACCAGCGTTGTGTGCTCAGTGTCGCCCCCTGCAGCTGGAGGACAGACAAGGCAACAGGTAATCCAATGTTCATTAAATGTTTCGCAACCTCCTTGGTATTCTTGTGTAAACCAATTAGAAAGGAACATTATTTTTAAATGAACTGTCACTATTATAAAGAACACTTTTGAAAAAGAGAGATGACTGACAGATCAGTAAATGTGAGATTTTTGTCTGGGGCATATTTAAAAAAAAAAAGCAATGTCACAAATATGTGTGTGTATCACTGTTTGTTCCTCTTAGGTTTAATCTGCTGTTCAGTGCTGCAACAGATGGCAAAATCGCAGTGTGGGATTTCACCGAGGCTTCCTTCATATCGACCGATGCCTTGAGTAATACCCCAGCCTCTCGAGTCCCCTGCCTCGTCATTCCCGCCCATCAGAGCGGCATCAACTCATTGGCTGTCTGGAAAGAGACACTAGAACAACAAGAGGGTTGTTGCCTGGTAACTGTTGCTAGCGGAGGGGATGATGGGCAGCTGACAGTGTCCACAGTAAGGGTACAGTACCCTGATGAAGGGAAGACTGGGAGAAGCAGAGGATTCAAGGAACCTCTGTTTTCTCAACAAACCAAGCTAACAACCCCAGACCAGCTTAATCTTTACCTTAACTCCCAGTCCCACGTCCCGCTGGCTCATGCCGCCCCTTTAACCGACCTGAAGCTCCTGAGCCCAGGCCTGCTGGTTTCCACTTCTTCTGATCAGAGGGTTTTCCTGTGGAGAGTCAGCAGTACCGGTATCAGCCACAGCGGGGCAGTGTTCTCTCATGTTGCAGATGCTGCAGGACTCTCAGCATGGGAGGGGGAGATTACACAGGAGGAGGAAGAAGAGCAAACGAGGAAAACAAGGTTTGAGTCTGAGCAGGAGACTGCAATTTCAAGACAGAAAGAGAGGAAGACGGGGTTAAAAACAATGTGTGAAACGGGTGGGAGATTCAGTAAGGATAAGGGAGCAGCTGATGAAGCCGAGGTGGGAGAACCTGTTGAAACCATGAGAGAGAGTGGGGACCCACTTTGTGCATCCAGTGATGATGAGAAGGGAGGTGAGACAGGGGCTGACAGCGGGGGTAAGACAGAGAGCGAGGTGAGTGGTGAGACAGGTTGTAAAGCTTCCAGTGAGAGCAAGAAAAAGACACAAAAGATGGGATGGGTGCTGGTGTGTGGACAAGGATTCCAGCTCCTTAGAGTCAGAAGTCCAGAGATGGATGCAGAGACTTAGACCAGAAGAGAGATAGAAAAGCAGAAGGTGGATCACAAAGTTAAAGTGACATTGAAAGAAAAGTCATTGTAAGTGAATCAAAAGATGCTAGTGCTCCAAAGTATAGCTGACAAATTTTTGATCAGTTCCACTACAAGTCGACTGTTCTAGCTGGACCGATTCACCAATGCAATTACTTTTGAACCAGCTGATAGGATAACACAATCGTGTTGGCCGAACTTGAACGAGGTCAGATAGAAATCAAGAGCCAGGGCACATAAACACAAGCTTGCAGACTGAACTGCTTTTCCTGAAATGTCTTGACTGTAACCTAATGAACCGATCTGTAATACATTTTACTTTTGTAATTTAAATACAATCTTTTAATAAAGTTTATTTATTACCCTGCTATGTTGATTTTAATTGGGTTTATTGCAGTTACTGTATGTAGGACATGAATTTATTTATGCTGCTAAATGAGGATTTAAAAAAAGCTGGAGGGGAATTAGAATTATATTCTTGAAAAAGTATTATAGTGTCTAGTAGTAGTAGACAGTAGTAGCAATCATTTTAAAGAGAAACTTTTCTCTAGTAAGGTTTTAAAGTAAAGTTTACATAACTAAACACCAGATTTGACTCCTGCTGGCCTGAAATAAACAAAGCAGTGAGTCTGAACTCGGGCACTAAATTCTGCCAAGCATTTTGAGCTCCTCAAGGAAAATTTCACAATGTCATGGCTATTTCAAGAGAACACTTAAACCATCTCTTATGTGTTTGTGCCATCTGTGGCCTCCAGGGAAAAGCACCACATTGTACAAAGATGGCTTTCATGTGTGGAGATATTTTTAATACAATATGTTCAATCTCAATCAGCAAGGAGAAATAGCTTGAGAGCCCGGGGACTTAATTTCCAGTAAGAACTAGGCCAAACCAAACTTCCCTTTACCAAATGACTCCTGGTCATTGTTCCTGTGTTGTTATTTGAGATTTTCTTAATTTATATCTTGGTCAAAAAGTTCACGCTTTTACATTCCAATAATTATGAGCACAAAAAGTATCCCAGACATGAAGAAAGACTTAAAATATACAAATCATTAAGTTGAATGCATTGTGTCAATCACTGCAGGAGTTGTTCAGAGATTGATTAAACCCTGCAGAGCAGAAAGATCCCCTGACTAGTCCCCACAGCCTGGGAGAAGGAAACACTGAAGTATTATTAGAAAGTATAACGGTGAATAACAGCTCATCTCAGCTGCTTCAAACATATAACACAACATCACAGTATTTTAATCAAATGAGTGCTTTTTCCCCCTTTTTACCATTTTTAGAACTCTCAAATTAGTTAAATAAAGAGCTTGTGATGGCCAACAGGGTAGCCTCAACACATTGAGATTCTGCTGGGTGAACCTGAGGAAGCTTAGAGCGAAACACGTAGTTCACTCACATTAAAATACAGTAAAGTTATTTTCAGTGTGCTAAGTTCACCCTAAACGTTTTTCTGAACCTCATTTCTTTAAAGGGACTTCTCGGGTTATACGCTGTTATGGGGTGGTTACTGTTTGATATATTTCTTTCTTTTTGGTACCTAATTAGAAAATGATGGATTTCAGCTGTGGTGGGTCACATACACTGTATGTCTATGTCAACTGCGATTCACAAAGAACTCTTCTCATCTTTGGCCTCCAAAGTTGTGGTTTGTATAACAGCTACCAACACTGACTGAGATCTGCACCTGTGGCGGCTCCACCCGGCCCCATTCCCTAAGGTTCCATGCTGACCAGATCAGCTGTTCTTCTCATCACACCCTACCCCTAAAGACTGCTGGGACCTGTCACCACCAGGTATGACTCTGACGCTCAAGCCACCTCGATGAGCCCCCTGGGCCCACTTTCAGGCCCTTACTGCCCACATCAAGCCCCACACTCCCTCCTGAAATATCAAAATATCTGCTTCAAGCCCCACGCCTCTTCCTTAAGGCCAAGGCTGCATGCTTGAAGCCCCATCCTCCGTACAGGAGGCCCTCGCTGCCCATTTCAAAACCAATTCTCCCACCTGAAGAGTAAGGATGTCTGTTTTAAGCCCCACACTCCGTCCCTAAACCGATGCTGTCTGCTTCAAGCCCCATTCCACCTCCAGAAGGCCCAGGCAGTCCTCCTGAATCTCCAAAGTACAACCTGAAGGCCAAGGATGTACGCTTTAACCCCATATAGATAGACAGACAGACAGACATGTTTGTGTGTGCAGGGCTACATGAGGGTCATCACCTATGAAGGGTCCGACTGCAGGTATCATGAATATTTTAATATTTTTTGCCTCATCTCGGATTTCCTTTTGTCAACCACCTGCCACTCAGGGATGGATAAAAGGGAGGATGAAGAGAGGTGAAGAAGGAAACCTAGTAAAGGAATAATAATGTCACTCTTCAGATAAATATAGTGGAAGAATAAAAGTTGCTCAGATGTTCAATATCCCAATGTTTAAATTAAAAGAGAAAGCTTCTCATGCTTGGGAGACTAATCTAAAACACCTGTGTAACCAATAGGATCAATTACAACGGGGAAGAAGAGTGAGAGAAAAGAGAAGGGGGAGAGTGAAAGCACCTGTGCTGTGGGGGTAAGGCTGGCAGGGGGGGGGGGTGTTTTTGTAAGAGGCACCTGCTGCACTCAGGAGAACAGAATGAGATAGAGACAGACAAGCAGAGAGGAAAGAGAAATTACCGGAGACATTAGGCAGACCAATGAATGAAAAGACAGACGCATTAATGAGCATAAGATGGAATATGTGTCTTGGATGAATTCATTTGATGGGGAGGACTGTCTTTGATGGATTACGTCTGAAATAGTATTCACCAGTTTTTCAAACAACATGGGGTCAGAGGGGAAGTGACTCGTATTTTGCCCTTAACGTGCAAAAGGAGTGACTATTACCACCCAGAGGTAAATACACTCACACACACGATTCAACTCCCTTTTTCAGACTGCCTGAATGAGTACACAACAAGCGTATACATGTTTAATATATATATTGTTAGCTGTGAGTGATTATGTTTTTTCAAATTGTTTTAAAGTCAGCATTTATCAAAAGTGCATCGTCAGCATGTTAACAAGCTTAATAATGATAAAAGCAGGACATTTTCACCACAATATGTTTTCAGGAGCTGGTTGTTTAGTCCAGTAAATGTAAACCTTGACTTTTTGTTGCTGCAGGACCCTCCGTGGGTGATGTCACGTGATCGGCTACCTCTCATTGGTTCTTCTGGGAGTAAAACAACAGGTAATCCACTCATGACCAACTCACCTTTCCATTTCATTTGAAAAAAACACACGGTATCAGTGCCCCAATGTTAAGGATCCTCCAAATACTTACGCCCCACTGATAAGTGACATAACCTTAAACATGTCCTTTTCAGTCAGACAACTCACGTTTGCTTGTGTTTTAAATATTTATTGCAGCCGAAGAGCAGGGTTTGTGTTTGGCATCGAGGCTCTGAATCATCACTCCTCAGTTATTTTTACATGCAGATATGGAAGTAGTGATGGGATGATATCTTAAACCTGCCTGTCCAAGACCTATAGGTGGATGCTGGGAGCGGGGCTGAACATGAGTGCAGTACTGGTGCAGGTCAGAGCTGGCAACTTAAATAGACTGCCCACTGGAAGGAGGTGTTGACAGGAGATAGTGGATGATGAGACATAAAGTGCAAAGTGTGAAATCAGTGCAGCTCGAGTTGTTTGACTAAACTAGCTCACAGGCTCAGCCTCATTAGTGGCCACCACAGGCTAAACAGAATTGACAACTTCAACAGACCAAGGCTCTGTTTATTTGAACTCCAGGTTATGACAGAACTAATACTACCTACCCTACCACGTGGCCCCTAATTGCCCCACAATGGAAAAGGTAGATGGGCAACAAGAGCCAACACGTCAACAGGGTATCAAGTCACCACAACTGAGAGTGTCGTGCCCTGTAGAGCAGACTGTATACATGGTCACACTATAGCATGATTAACCCTTTATCATCATTGAATAGGTTTCTTTTAATAATAAATACAATCCTAAAATCAGTGTTCCTGTTACCCAAGTTTCATGTCAGGGTCATATAAACAATAACAAATTACTTGTTTTTTTCTGTCCAAGTCACTCTTGTAAGAATATTAAATCCCTTCATGCTATATATATACACAAGAGGATTAGGGCCACTAACAAAATGTTGTTTTTAGAATTCTGTCACTAATTTCAGAATTCTAAATTTAGTCTCAGAATTCTGAGAAAGAAGTCATAATTCTGACATTTTTCTCGGAGTTCTGAATTAATCTCAGAATTCTGACTTTAATCTCAAAATTTCCAACAATTTCCTGCAGAAATCCAAATTTGAAAAATTATCAGATTCACTTTTTTTAAAATCAAGATCAATCAATAAGATTTTTCAATAGTGGCAAAGCATGACAAAAGTTATCCCAGGGCACTTAATAAAAAGAGCAGGTGCAGACTAACTCTTTGTGATGTTGTTTAAGGACACCCAACATGAATCCACCATGAGCCAGTACTAGAAACATTTAAATCAATCTTGTCATGGCGTTTGAAGCCAGAGCACTTTAATGATCTGCAGCTTGGTTGTTTCCTCTTACCTTCTTTTAACCAAAGCCAAACCCCCTCTCTCCTCCTCAGCTCTCCAGCGCCCCCATCAGGCCAGTAACCGAAAACGCAGCCAGCAGCAGACATCAACCTCCACCTCTTACCCTCATCCAGGACCTGCCTCAATCTTCCTCTCGGATTCCACCATGACACCTTGGGGAGGGCTGGCTTTGTCAGAATCTTCTTTTACATCCATCCCCCAACCTCCGCCTCCACGGCCTCCTCCATCTCTCCCCCCTCCTGCTCCTCAGCCAACGCCTTCAAGCCCATATCGACGCAGACAGAACGAAGAGGTTTCAAGTTCCAGTTTCAACTCTGAGGTTCCGTCTCCGCCTGTTGTGGTCCCTCAGAGCCATACAGGTATGACTGGAACAGAATGTGTATCTCTCAGCATGTAACCAAGGCCAGATTATTTTAAAAGCATTTTACATAAGGATATGTTCACAAGGATACAAAATAATCGATGGCAAATAATTCAGTAGTAGTAAATATTTCCCTTTGAAGCTTATAATAGGCTTCCTGTCCTTTTCCATAGTTTGTAGACAACTTTTCTGTTAATATTGTATAGGCCATTGTTAATTTTTGGAAATATTTTTGGCCAGAATAAAACAAAAAAATCCATTCTATTTCAAATTGAAACCACATTCATCTTCTTTCCTTCCTTCATGTCTTATCCCTCTCCGTCGCTGCAGGCGGAGCGGTGAGAGGGTTCCGGCAACGGCGGAAGATTCTGCCCCAGCGTCGGGTGCCCCGTCCTCCCCGTCTCCCACCGCTGCATCCCGTCACCAACCTGAGCTTCTCACGCAGCTTCACCTTCTCTTTCTTTGAGCTGCCGCTGCACCAGTCACCGCGCCATCGGGCCGAGCGCATCAGAAACCTCATGCTGCTTTTGAAACAGATACACTTCTGAAGAATCACTTCTTCAAAACAAATGTTCCTTGATTTGTTTGTCCATTTATATTCTAATGGGGCCTCCGTTTTCTAAAACATATGCTAATCTAAGTGCTACATTTTAAATGTATCGTCGTTATTTGTTTCCATCAAATGTAATACAGTTAGGAAAGTTTCTGTATTTTCTGTAAAGAATGGGAGCTCCTTGGGGATCTTCACATTTTCAATAATATTTTGAATTCCCAATTTGGTATTCAAATTTGAAAGGAAAATCTCCCCTCTCTATATCCTATATGACCTCTAAACTCAAACTTTGGGCAGTGTTTTGACTTTTTTTGACTTTCAATTTCTCTTAACTCTTCCTTTCTTTCTTTCTTTCTTTCTTTCCTTTTTTTACAATCCTGGGATCAAACATTCATTATGGCATTGTTGGTGACTCACATACATTTCTGTTTCTCTACTGTGGTGAGATTAAAGGACAATAAAAACCAGTACAGTGAGATTAAAGGGCACTTTTTTTTCATTATCTCTCTCTCGTCTCTTCTCGTCTAAATTGATGAGGCAATCTTCATTTCCCTCATGTAAGTCTTTCAATTAATTTCCCATTTTCTCTTTCTAGCGGCTTTCAAAAAATTAATCGTTCTGTGAAGTGGAATACATTAAAATTGATTAAAACAGAGAAAACATTTCACTTCCTCATTAACTCTCCCACTCTCACTCTCACTCTTTTAAACACACACTACAGTCACACACACACATTCAGTCCATGAGTTGCTGAAAGCTGAGCTGTGATAATGGGGGCATTCAGACGCACTGAATGGGGAAGGGGGGAGAGGGGAGAAAAGGGGCACTAAACTCTGTGTGCAGAGTTCAAGGCTGTTCTCTACCTTCCCTGACTCACGTGTGAGAGTTTGTAGAGCCGTGCCTGTGTGTTATCCTCTTACACGCACGCCGGGCGCACATGTGAACTCTTTGTTCTCATGCGGCTTTGAGCTGATACAGAGTCAGAGACCTCTGTCTCTCACTCTGCTTTGGTTTGTTTTGGTTAACTTTACTGTTACAATCTAACTGTGTCTTTCTCATGTAACTTTATACATGTTTCAAACACATGAAGGAAAAACACACGAGACACATTTACCACCCTCAGTATTGACAGGATTCGAAAGTGAAACCTCACTGCTCTGCCAGTAATCTTTGACATTGATTTCAGATGGACAGCGCTGAGCAAAATGGCCTTTCTCCCAACATGCAGCCTCATCTGGCTGTTGGCCTGGACGAAACACAGCTGGATGTCCTTGGGGAACGGGTAGGAAAGGAGCCCCTGACAGTTTTGGAGAGAGTGAAGGCACAGTGTTGGTGAGTCTGAGAATAGGTTTCACTGTTGGCCTTGCTGGGGGTCAGTTTGGGCCCTCAGCCAGCTTTTAGGCCGAACAGATAGTTAAGGCTTTTTATCTCAAGCTTTTTGGCCTTGAACTCTCTCTCTCTGTGTGTGTGTGTGTGTGTGTGTGTGTGTGTGTGTGTGTGTGTGTGTGTGTGTGTGTGTGTGTGTGTGTGTGTGTGTGTGTGTGTGTGTGTGTGTGTGTGTGTGTGTGTGTGTGTTCTTCCAGGTGTTCTGGTCCTAGGTTGAAGAGCTTACTGCTGGGCTTTTTCCCTGTGCTGTCATGGCTTCCTCGCTACTCCATCAAAGAAAATGCTATTGGAGACTTGGTGTCTGGAATCAGCGTTGGGGTCATACATCTACCACAGGGTGAGGAGGCAACTACTAATATGGAACACTAAATGGGTGGGCAACTACAGAAAATGTCAAGCCACTCCCCCAAACACATGATCATGCATTATCTGAATTACAGTGAGGGTAAAGTCCACAGGAGAGCGCTAGAGAGGAAGAGTGTATTTGTATTTTTCAACTTTTTTAAGCTGGATTTCTCAGTGACTAGCTTGCTCAGTTTAGCATGTGGAAGACATACTATGTGGATAAGAAGTTGATGAATTATAGCCTTTGGTTTCAAATCCAATCCAAAAGTGCCTAACATGGCATTCTTATTATGGCCAGCAGGGGGCAAAAAAACAGATAGAAAAATGACTCTATTTCACAACTAATGTGTTATATAAGTAAAGAGGAACGTATTAATTAATGGTCCAAGTTGTTGTAGTTTGTTCTCTTCCTTATAATAGCACATTATGTAATGATGGTCTTACTAAGAGTAAAGTCAACATTAAAGCAGGGTATGCTTTAGGGCCTGGCGACCTGGGATTGACAAGTTGCTACCACAGTGATCTGTCAACTAGAGAGTCACATATAAATAGGTTAACAGATTAGCCATCCAATAATTTATTAAGGCTACATTTTGTTTTATTTGACAGTGCAGGTGGCCACAGACAGAAGATTGTTTTTCTGCTTTTGGACCATTTCATCTCCTCTTTGAAACTAGTCCAGATTGTCTAGACTAGCTTTAATGTTCTATTGCAAGCTACAAGGTGTTAAAATAACTGTATATATATTTTCTTAGGTTAAGTATTTTATTTTATCAGTGCTTACTGCATGACAAATTTAGATTTGGATTATGATTGAAGAACTAACGCATGACATCCTGCAGTGTGCCTTACAGCTTTAAAGGAAAAGATGAAAAACTTACATATACATTTTTTTTAAGACTAGTTATTTCAGGTCAACATCCAGAACTTACCCGCAATCATGGGATCATAGCAGCTTTAACTGCAGGAAAGAAAGGTCCAGGTTGAAAATGAAATCATATTTTACAGTCACCACTGGATCAACACATGAAGAGAAAGTTGCAGCTCCAGCTACAAAGATGCCTTTGAGGGAGGAGAATCTTTCATGAGTGCAGAGATGCTGAATCTCTACACAAATATATCCCTCTTCATGCAAAGTTGCCATGTTATTTGGTTTAAAGAATTGTATGGCTTCTTAATTACACCATGTGTTTAGTAATGCTCCCCAGGTTGTATTTCAATCTCATTGTCTCTGAATTTTTCTCAGGTATGGCCAACGCCATGTTGGTAGGAGTTCCTCCAGTGTTTGGTCTCTACACCTCCCTCTATCCTCTGATCATCTACTTCATCTTCGGCACTTCCAAACACCTCTCCATGGGTGACTGTCAACCTTTATTAGTCTTTTTATTAGAGTTTTATGTATAACTATTCTGATGCGGTCCTTTCCATTTGTAGTACATTGCTCATGAGCTTTGTGTACACATATTCTATGTCTGTTTATGCGCGACAGGTACTTTTGCTTTACTAGCCATCATGCTTGGGTCAGTGACAGCCAACGTGGAGTTGCTAAGCAACGGTTCTGAAGAGAGTAAGATTGATGTGGAAGCAGCCAAAATCAACATGGCTGTCCAAATCACCTTCCTTTGTGGCCTTATTCAGGTACACACATACACCCACATTAGGAAGACTTGGTTGAACACAATTCACAGTGTTCAACCACATTGTTCGCTCTCTGCTTCGATGTGGCACAGCTGTATTTTATGATTGAAATCTCACAAACAGTAAGCATATCACTTCTGCTGGACTATTAAGTAGCTTTAAAGACAATGGAAATCAAGAAATAAGGAGTCATAACACCTACGAAAAGCTTTTACCCAAGCTATCATTACCGTCAGCTAGCTAACGTTTGTGCTTGCTAGAAATTTGCAGATGTCCTTTAGTATAATGCTTCACTAGTACAATGTTATGTTGAAATGGTTGAATGTGAATGGTGGCCGCTGACTAATACTAGCTAATAAGTTCTTAATTATCTTGTTTTGACTTGATAAATATCGTTTGCCTGATGTTCTTCAAAAATCATTGCTCATTGTCTTCAGTTTGTGAAAAATGAGGATGCAGTGAAATCATAGTTACTTGTCAGATTTAGATGTTTCTATGATTTGCAGACATTAAATTTGTTAATATGGTAAAAGCATGTTTTACACTCACTCATGTAAAGCTAAAGCTTACCTCTAAACCTCTGGCCTTATTTTGTAGTCAAGCATGGATGAAGAGAAATCCCCGTTTAGACATTCACTGAAGTATCACATTTGTTTTAAGAGTTTCATCCGCTGTTATTCATACACCTGCGGTGTACTCTGAGACACATAGCCTACTCTCCTTCACCTCAGGTCAGCTTGAAACATCTGCCGGCAAGCTTTGCAAGAGTAAAGTGGAAAAATATGTATGAGGAAAGTCTTAGTGTGATTTTTACTTTTTTATTCCTGTGGATTGACTGATCTTAGCCCACTCTGTGCAGGGGTTTTCATAGCCAAACTGTCGGCCTTATCAGTTCATTGATCTCTTACTGGCTTTCCACACTGCACAAACCTTAAATGCTCTCAGGGGCAGTTGTACAAGAATTTCCCTTCTGTTGTACCCCAGGACTTCAAATCGATCCAGATGTGTTGAGCAGTTCAAGAGAAGTTTCATGGCTGCACATTCCAGCGATGTAAAACATGCATACAAGGTCTTATCAGATCAGAGAGGCAGCTGTTGTGCAGATATTTGAAGAAACATCAGGAAAAGGAAAAGATAAAAAAAAGGAAAACTAAGCCTTTTATATTAAGTGTAGTTTCCCTTTTGTGTTTGTGTGTGTCCCCTTTAGCTCCTGCTGTACCTGCTGCAAGGAGGCGGCGTGTGTCGCTGGTTGTCTGATGCTGTAATCAGAGGATACACCACAGCAGCAGCTCTGCATGTTATCATCCTGCAACTGCCGCTGATGACTGGAATAGCTGCTCAGAGATACACTGGACTGTTGGCTTCATCTTGGGTCTGTTGAAAGCTTAGTACCACACACACACACACACACACACACACACACACACACACACACACACACACACACACACACACACACACACACACACACACACACACACACACACACACACACACACACACTAATCAGTGCCAGTAACCTTCAACACAGCAGTGGTGTCCTTGGGCAACACTTTGAAGTCTTACGCGCTCCTGCAGTTCCCATATTACATCCTCTCTTGGGTCGACTCATCTGCTTATGAACTGAATCTTGTTTCCTGATATGGATTTCATTCATTAGTCCATGTAAGCTGACACATGATCTGGGGATTTCTCTCATTCTGATAGTAGATATGACAGTTTATCATGATCTGTGAAAGTGTGGAGATCAAACAAAACATTTCCTGTAATATCACCTGAAAATTAATATTGCACTAAATAAAGTTGACTTGAATGCCAATATCTATATAATTGCATCAATAATGTTACATTTTAGAAAGACAAAAAATATGCATTGCTTTTTCAATAATATTGCAACTTAAAAATTAAAAACATTAATTTTTTTGTAAAGAAAAATTTAACAAAATATAGAAATTACTTTTTTTTATTGTCAGAGAATCTAGCTATCATATTTATTAATACTTTGACTTCAGTCTCATTTCTATGAAGAAATTAAAAACTGTACTGTGAGAAAATTGTACTTGAACCCAGAATCATGATACTTATCGAATCCCTAATAGTGTATATCATCACTACTGTACGTAGTTATGAGCTTCTGAACATGATGGGTTGAAATCATGACTTGAAAATAATGTCAAATGTTTGTTTCATTTCTTTGGTCAGCATTGGGCCCTATGTCTCTAAACCCTCCTAATAGCTCTTTTAACCTGATAAGTATGACAATCTGGTCTAAGCTATTTATGTTTTTAATTTCTGTTTGCTGCGGGGTCTGCTGCTGTGACTTAGTGATAGCTTTGTTTTTATTCTTGGCACTCAAAGGGCACATTTAAGATTTCCCAAGTTCCTCCTTTCTCCTTTCACTTTTCACCACTGTGTGGAAAACATTTCAAGGTGTAGGCTGAGTTCAAAAAGTGTCAGACATGTTTATCAGCTGTCTGCAGGTGGTTAATTTATAACTTTCCAAAGGCAATGGAGCAGTTCACACATAAATCCCACCTGCGCGGGGTCTAACTCTATAGTTTTAATCCTCCTCAAACAACTTAAAAAAACTTTACCTGAAGATTTTCTTGACTAGTTAGATAAATTAAATCACATTCACCATGAGTTATGTGTTTCAAAAGGTTTAATATAACATTTGAAACTTTGTGCATATTTCCTCTTCCAGACTCTAAAGGATGTTCTGCTTGGAGTAACCTCTGCTGTACCCGGGGCCCTGACAGTCTCTGGGGTTTCCATGGTGATACTCATCGGAGGCAAGATGCTGAATGAGCGTTTTAAAAACAAGATTCCTATAGCCATACCGTGGGAACTTATACTGGTTAGATATACAACACACACACACTCACACACAAACACACACACACACAGTAGACTCATGCCCATAACATGCTCCCAGATGGACAGATGCCACAGTGACAAACTGATGAGTGACTCATACTTATATAAAAATCTGTTTGATCTCCAAATCCAAGAATCTCCACATATGATAAATATTTGCACCTGTCCATGTATGAACTATTATGTGATCTGTTGATGTTGGGATTTTAAAAAAAAATACAAAATCTGTTTCAGCTTTTCTGTTCTTTTGTAACTGTAAAGATTTCAGAATAACTCACTGAACAACAAATGTTATTATCTTTATTATGTTTAATTAAAGACACCTGATAAGTCATCACTGAAACTATCCCATTGCCAGTAAAGTGAATGACAAGGTGTTATGGAAACATAAGTCTCCACTATCGGCCATGGTTCTGAACCGCTAGTCTACCAGCACACAGACCGTATCAGATTAAGATCAAGTGTGTGTTTGTGTTCTTCCAGTATATCAGTTTATTAATAACTGCTCACTGCTTGATCTTTTAGATTAGATTAAAATATCATGGATGGTTAAGTTGGACTTTTGTCATGAGTACTTTGCACATATACTTGGAAAGTACATAAAACAAACAGTTAACATTTGTTGATTTGAAACTAGCAGATTTCTTCTATTTTCTTTCTTTTTTTTACACAATTGACAGCACCAATAAATTTGTCCTTGAGTCTAAAGGGTTAATTTAAGCTTTGTTAATCTAAGCAGTCTGGTTGACCTAACATTTATATGTAGAAATCTGTATATTTGTGTTTTCCAAACTGCTCATTCTGTGCAGAAGATGTCATGCCCATTGTCTTCTCCCACAGATTGTCCTGGGCACCATCCTGTCTGTGCAGATGGATCTGTCAGGACAGCACAGAGTCCAGGTGGTGGGACACATACCCAGTGGGTCAGTAGAACTATGTCATTGTCTTTTTTTTTTTTTGTATTTGCATGCTACTTTTTTTAAAAGATATGTATTTATAGAAGTGTGATCCTGACCTTTTTTTCAGGATTATTTTGGGCTTTTAATACCTTTATGTAGAGACAGGATTGTGGATAGAGTCAGAATCGGGGACAGGGAGAGAGAGTGGGGAATGACATGAGGAGAAAGGAGCCACTGGTCGGATTCGAACCTGTGCCACCAGTTTAAGGGACTTTAGCTTCTGCACATGGGGCGCTCACACTAACCACTTGGCTGCCAGTGCCCAGATCCTGACTTTTGTTTAATTAAGTATAGCTTTAAAAAAGTTTCATTGTAACCAATCTGTGACATCGTACTGCTTTGAAGAGTAATTTAATTCAATAACAATGAATCATTTAATTAAAAAATTCATATTGCATTTTTTTACTACTTGCAAAGTTGTAATAAAATTGTAAATATAATCTGGATTCATATTGCTGAACCAACATTTGTATGTTAGTTATAAGCCTCCATAATATAACCCAAAGCCCTTCAGTCTCTCTGATACTTTAACCTCCATCTGACTCCCATTCTGCATACACCTGCTCTAATCATGTAATGTAAGAGAGCTCTGTTGTGATTGTGTTAGAATGATGAGCTTTCAGAGAGTGCAATCTACATGATGAGTAATTCAGGAGGTGACTCAGCTTTCAAACGGAGGTCATACTTCTTTACATTACTGTATATCTCATTTTTCTTCTTTTGAATATTCACTTAGTCATCGTCGTGTTTATCAAGTTGTTTTCTTCTTCCTTCCCTTTCGTCTCTTCCTCTCCTCCTCCAGCCTGTCTCCTCCAGTCCTTCCCTCTCTTTCTCAGGTCAGAGAGCTGTTTATTCCAGCTCTATGTGCTGCTCTGGTTGGCTTCAGTTTCCTCTCGGCAATGGGCTCAGTGTTCGCCCGCAAACACAGCAGTCACGTGGACCCCAGTCAGGTATTATCACAGGAAATGTAAAAGATATTACAGCTAATGTGGAGCGTTTGTCATGGTGGTCTTTATGAGCAAAAAAAGGTAGAAAAAGTGTTTTAGAAAGAACTTGTGGAAGAGTTTCTTCCATATATATAATTTTAATGTCCACAACAAGCCAACCTGAGAACACTCATGAGATCCATGAGCTAAGTTGTAGCTTCAGTCAGAGTGTGGTTTTCAATTGCTGTACTCTGTCTCTCATTCAGGACCTGCTGGCTCTGGGTTTGTGTAACACCATAGGAGCAATGTTCCAGTGCTTCGCTGTCAGCTGCTCCTTCTCTCGCAGCATGGTCCAGGATAGTACTGGAGTCAAATCACAGGTACACATGAAAACCTAACCTCACTTTAGCCCTTTTTTCACACAAGCACTCCTGAAACTGTCCAGATAATTTCAGGACAGACCTCAAAAACTGTTTACACATACACCACACAGCAAGAAACTTTCACTGTCAGACTGGAGGGGTCTCAGGAGGCGAGACGTTATGTTGAACAGAACGGAAATGGCGAGTGAAGCAAAGCAGTCCAACACTGCGATCACAGTTTTTGCCTTTATATCAAAGCTACGTGTAGTTTGAAGTTTTTGTCGTATAAACTGATGAGTCGTTAAAACATACCGATGAGCTGAAAAAGAGTATGAAAAAGCTTCATTACATGCATAAAGCTAACACCTGTTGCCAACCGGTCGCATACCTGTATGTCATCATCTCAGTCTGCTCGCTTGTTGTTAATTTTTCTGGATATTTCCAGCTGCATCCTCACATCAGCTCACCCGACATGACGTGGAAATTCAAGCTGAACAATTCTTTAGTTAAATTCCGCCGTTTGTGTCAACACATGCTGCTAACCCCAAAACTTTTGTTACATTTTCAGGAGTTTTGTGCGTGTGTGAAAACACACCACTAGAGCCTTGACAGGGAGGCAACATCAAGTTATATCTCATGTTTAAATAGAGTTTATTGTCTGTCTACCTTCACTCATTATTACTCATTACTTATTGTCTTCATTTGATTTAACCTCAGATGGCAGGATTGGTATCAGCTTTGGTGATTTTAACCATTTTGCTGAAGATCGGTCACCTCTTTGAGCAGCTGCCAAAGGTAAAGTGCTTGTGACATTATAAACATGATCAGTTTGTTCTGTCATATATCTTTTAAAGTCATGTATGTAAAGAGATGACAAAAGTACACACATTTATAGACACTCTGGGAAAGTAAAAGTACTGATTCAAAGTAAATGTGAAATGTATTAAGTGTAAAGGTAAAGAACACTGCTGAAGGATATTTCTACCTGCTGTTTCTGTGCATAGCTTACTAAACCTCATGTCATTCAGATTCATAAACTTCAGTAACTTACCTTCATCAACATGAACATTAACTTTACTACATATCGGGAATCCCTTGCTGCTCTGAATCAGAATTATCAGCAACAGTGGCAGGTTTGACTTTATTCATGTCTCTGCCTGTCACTCATGAACATCACATTTACATGATGCCTCTCCTACATGGGTTGAGTTTTCCTCTCTTATCTGTTTTACATAATTTTAGATAAATTACAACAATCTGGTGTAGTATGCACTGATTGATATGCCAGGGAATTGTCTTTTCTGTGTTAAAGTCTCATCCATTTGGGCTGAAATCAGTCTTGATGTTGGTAAGACGTTAGCATTATTCCCTCAAATTAAATAAAGCTAAAATAACGTCCCTGATTTAGTTCAAAGTGGAAAGTACAGAGATTTGTTAAAATGCAGGGGTAAAAGTAAAATGTTGTCAAAGACTTACTAAAGTGTAGTGCATATGCTTGACTCTATGCACAGTCACAAATCACTTGCTCTTTATTACTTCCTAACTCTGTATGTAACTGAACAAAATGATCCAAGGATAGGACAAACTGAGCTGACTCTGACATCACAACAGACACAAATGGCATAAAAGTTTGTGTTGGCAGCTGTCCAGTCACTTTTAAAGGAATAATAAAGCATTTCAGGAAACATGTCTTAAGAAATGTGAAGTCATTCTCTGCCTGCAGGACATTCAGTGTAAGGATGATTCACGTGTCTCAGTGTTTGGTATATTCTTGATGTCTGTTCCAGGCAGTGTTGGCAGTGATCATCACGGTGAACCTGCAGGGGATGCTGGCTCAGTTCAAAGATGTGTGTGTGCTCTGGAAGGCTGACAGATTAGACCTGGTGGGCTACACACACACACACACACACACACACACACACACACACACACACACACACACACACACACACACACACACACACACTCATAGTCATAAAAATGGAGTCCATCATTATTCAGTATCTTTGCATAGAACCATGCAGACCATGGGGCGGCTGTGGCTCAGTTGGTAGAGTCGGTCATCTCGATTCGGTTCGATCCCCAGCTCCTGTCTGGCACCCAACCCCGAATTGCTCCCGCTGCTTCTTTGGGGCGTATGAATGTGTATGAATGGGATTAGTTAATTCTGATGGATACTTTACTCAGCAGCCTCTACCATCAGTGTGTGAATGTGTAGGTGTGACCTGCACTGTAAAAGTAGTTGTCAGAAGACTAGAAAAGCGCCATGCAAGGTCAAGTCCATTTATCATTTACCAGTTTAAAACAGTACGAATCGCCCTCTGATTCTGGTCCTCTGTCCTCCTGCAGCTGGTGTGGACGGCATCACTGCTCTCCACGCTGGTCTTTAACCTGGACTTGGGTCTGGCCGTGGCTGTCGTCTTCTCTCTACTCACACTCATCTACAGGACACAACAGTCAGTAAATATCAATTTGCAGGCTCTACGTGGGGATTATTACATCAATGAGTCATTACCTAACTTGAAACATCACAACTTTCAATTTACACAATTGGCTGTCTACGCCACCATCCACATTTTCCATTTATCTTTCATTAACTGGGTCACATTTCACAGGGAATGTCATGGAAAGCTGTTATGACCTTATCCTGCACAAATCCACAATCACTCTTAAAATAGTCATCTGTTATAAAACTTGAAATGATGATACAGTTTTAAAACGAGGCTACAAATTACAAGATTACTACAAACTTAGATTAACCCTTTAGACTCAAGGACAAACTTATTGGTGCTGTCAATTCTTTAAAAAAACACAAAAGAAAATAGAAATAGATGAAAATGTCATTATGTCATCTATGTCATTTTGAAGTCTTCATGACAAAAGTCCAATTTAACCATCCTTGTTATTTTAATCTAATCTAAAAGATCAAGCAGTAAGCAGTTATTAATAAACTAATATACTGGAAGTGCTCACAGGTAGCAAGATAACAGTCAAATTACATCAACATAAAAATGACTTTTTATTTCCTGCTAGAAGCAATGACCTCATCAACAGGAAGTAAAAGGGCTCATTAGAAACATGGTAGCAAAACGTACTGTATCTTGAGGCTTGCTTATGGTCTGATTTCCCAGATAAACATCAAGGTATCATGATTAATTTATGCAATGTATTGATGGTTCATTAATGCTGCATTATTGTGATATCAACTTGGATTTAATATGTTTAAACATTTAATATGTTCATTAACAACTTATGTTTCATACACATCAGAAAACTTTAGTATGTTCCTCCCTCCTCTTACTTTTCTCTCAGGCAGACTCACGCTCTCCTGACTTTGATCTTTTATCATCCTTGTCTTTCAGCTCCTCCTCTGTGGTGTTGGGTCGTATTCCTGGTACTGACTGTTACAGAGATATGGGGCTGTACACCCAGGTAAAACCACTCCTTCTTACAGGTCTCACTCTAATGCGTTTTTACTAAACCTCACTCTGGATTAAATCTTGATGATGCAAGGAATGCAGATAGAGCATTGCATACTGCAAATGTATTTCACCTGTAAGTTAAGGAATAGATGTCCCAATAAATCTGTATTTTATAATTGTTAAAGAAACATAAGTTATTTAGAAGGCTTATTTCTGTACAATTTCTGCAAAGGTACTGAGTCAATACAGAGCTTAGAGAGCCAGCCTCTAGTGGCTATGAGAAAAACTGTAGATTCAAGCCCTTCACACATTATGTACTGACCTGAGAAAAGGCCAGGGATGTTGCAAATCTGAAATGTTAGTAGTGAACCTTTGGAACGAGGGAAGGCAACCGGCTCTTTCCAAAGCTTTAATAAATCCAACTGTTGAAGAAATTACTAAGACTTGACTCCATACAATAAGACTCAGTTGACTCAGATGACTTATGTTGATGAAAGTTTATACATCAGATGAATACTCATGAGGAGACATGATTCAACATCACACTTTTCAAAAGGCATCGCATATATCCTAAAAGACATTACCATTATCAGGGTCACATTGCCCCACCTAGACTAAACTGTGACATCAATAACACTGGAGCAGACAATAAGTCTACCAAACATCCTTGCAGATATCAGGAAGAACAGTTGACACTCTCCAAGCTGTACTTGGTGTTTTAATAACAACTGAACTCTGTCAGGTCTGACTGACATAAGAGAACAGTGAATAACCCTGGTGACATCTGTACATTATAATCTAAATAACTACAGAAAGTCCACCACACCAACAACTAACATGCCTCATTTTTAATACAAGCATGTTATGGGACGCCGTTCGTGGTTAGTGCGTTAGTGCCTGTGCCCCCTGTATGGAGGCCAGTGTCCTCTAAGTATAAACTTTTAAAAAGCATGTTATATCTACCATATTTTAATCAGTACACAAAAACAACCAGTAACATAACCTTTGCATCCTCAAGTTGTTGACAATGCCAGAAATCCCTTGAAAAGATACAGCATGTAATGTGTAAATGTGACATGTTGTTAACTGGTCAAGAAACTGGAGTAACATCCTCATCAGTGAGCTTTGAGTGAGTTTTAAAAGCTGACAGTAGATAAAGTTAAATGTAAAACTTGAAAAGAAATGTTCAACAGACGGTCAGTCTTTGATAAACTTAATAAAAGACTCCTCACATTAAAAACTGTCCCCCAGCCAAAACACAGTGAAAATACATCCCAGGTCCACAACCACCATCTGTCACACATCAAAACAGTAACGGCAGCCTGTGTTGGCTCAGAGCATCAGTGGATTCATGTGAACTTCTCGCTCTCTGTTCTCTTCTTTTGATTCTCTGTTCAGTCGTATTCGCTGGTGACTGCTGCACACTTCCCCTCTGTGTTCCTCTTCAAGAATCAGGCATGAGGGATTGTGTTTGCAGAAGCATATATGATTTTTTTTTTACTTTTCCATCATCTCACATGGTAGACATTACTACTGATAATGCTAGTCAGCACACAGTTGTTAAAGGTAAGATGCCAGTCACAATGGTAAATGAATATACTCTGTGTGTCTTTCTGTTTATTTAAGGCACAAAAGGTTCCTGGTGTGACGATACTCTCCTGTTCCAGCCCAATTTACTTTGCCAACTCTGAAGTGGTCTTCACAGAGATCAGACAGGTGCCCACACACACACACACACACACACACACACACACATATGAAAAGGTTATGATTGAGAAGAGAATGGGGAGGAGGGAGTCATTAGCATGAGTCAAATAAAGGATGATTTTGAGTAAATGATTGAGTGAGAGATGAGATTTTTATTATAATCATAAAAATGACAGAGTCCAGATGAGCCGTTCATCTTCTCCAAATGAAGGGTGCATTTCTTCCACATGAGATTCATCCATATGGGGAACATCATTTTAGAAATAGTGATGTGTGTATGTAGCTGACGTGTGGATGCCTGTTCTTCTGGTTTGATCACTCTGGTTTGAAAGAGAACATTTCCACAAGCATGTTCAAAGAAGTTCTTCAGTTTGCCTCATGTTACATGGAAACTTAATAAAAATGATGAGCCAATTGATCTACATGTAACTTTCCCTCTACACATGCAGGCGGTGAGTCGTGGTCAGAAGGAGAACCCAGCAGGAGTCCACAGCGCTGGTTTGTCCTCCTCCCCCTCCTCGTCCTCAGCCCAGATGTGGACAGACACTCATTGTTTGGTGCTTGATCTCAGCTCGGTTAACTTCATGGACTCAACTGCTATGAAATCATTTTGCAAGGTGAGAAAAGACAGCAGTATAGAAAGTAA